AGGTTCGCGGTGGAGTCAACTATACTGCGTATCTCTGCGACTGCACTACCCACCGTACCTCCTCGTGTTCGGCCAGGTTATATTAAACATTCTACCTTCTAGTTACTGACACACTGTACTTGCTGTTAATTTTCATTTTTCGGTGATCATTAGCCCACAAAAACGCTTTCACGTCACGGCCGAAATCCTTTCTTCTTCCCCAAGGATGAAGCACGTAGGTCAAATTAGCATGGGAGATGCCCGGAGATTTCTTTGGCCACATGCGCCAACGCCCGCCGTGGTGGGGTGCCGAATTCGCATCAGAGGCCGCAGCCCTGTACTTTCGAGCATTGATAGGCGCCGAGATCGACTATCGCTGCGTACGTGCTCATCTTGAACGCGAAACAGTTGGCACTATGCCCTGTTCAGTCGCAAAAACTATCAGACGCCTTACTGTCAAGATTGAAGAGGGGTACATTGGCTGGGTAATTGACTATGAAGCCCTGAAAGACTGCATGCAAAGCCTACTGATGTTGAAAGACCGTGGAGGAATGTGCATCGAAATCTATTTGAACTCGAGTATACAGTACAGTGGCGCGCTGTTCCGTGTTCTCGAAACCATCAGACCCTTTTATCTCGCTCTTCGCGATACCAAGGTCAAGATCAAGGTCTTTGGCTACAACTTCTTCAGTTTACTCGAAGACGAAAGCGATGATGTCTTTTCAGAACAGCTGAACTATTACTTCATGGGTACTCCTGAAGAATGGCTGAAAATGAAGAAGATGGAGAATCAAGAGATTCTAGAGGCACCGTTGCGGAATCATTGCAAGCGAGTCAGTACGTCAGGTCCTATACGGAGACCTAGCTAATACTACATGTAGACCGTCAAGATCATGCGGAAGAACCTTGAGTTCTATGATGCCTTTGTACGCCGGGTGGCACTTGTGGATAACGCTTGGTTGGTATGTCATGGTCCTCAGCGCTTCAACGCGACGGCATGAAACGGAACCGGTAGGGGATGAGGTCGCTGCAGTTTTCCTCGGCTGGTCAATTTCAAGATTCATTTCCTGTCTTTTAATTATTAATTATCTATTGTAAAGCAAAGAGTCCGTCAGCGCAATGTCCCCCGCGAAAAGACAACAGACAACACTGAACTTCTTTCGTGATGTTGTAATTTGGAATAAGGCCCGAAGACGGCGAATGCATTCATTCTACAACGAATAAATAGCGGCATACAATTCGGCTAAGAGACGTGTTGCAGCCGGTAGCGCTGAATGAAGGGCACCATTTTTCAGCAGGGATAGTAGGGAGACTAGGGTTCAGGTAAGACGATAGTGGGAGAAGGTACTTCTGATTAACTATGTAATTGGGTGAAGGAAGTCTTACGTTAGCGACACTGGTACCATGGTACAGTCGACCCGAGGTACCCCCCCAAAACTACCGCATCCAGAAATCCTCAAATGATTACATCAACGCAGCAAATTTACGGTTGAAGAGAACCCCTTGCTAGTGAGGGAGGTCATAATACTCACAAAATTTAGGTTAGGCCAAGTCGTGCGCACATCCGTAGGGGACGAAAATTAATAGTCTACCACGGTACCGCTGGCCTGTACTACAACTGATTTTGGGTAGAAACGGCATGCATAAAGGACTAGTTTTTCTTACTCATCTTTCTCAAACCTCTTCAGATTTGGGGACTCCGACTTTCTGCCTGTTTTCCACGCACTCTGTACTACGCAGCAAAACCGCGCAGTACATATCAGCACTTCAAAATGGCATATACACCACCGTTCCGCTTTCTTGACCTGCCCAAAGAGTTACGTCTCATGGTCTACGAGCGTCTCCCCGTCAAGACTACGCATCATTACTTCCGCTGCTCATTCGGGCTGGACAGCGCGAGATTGGTCCAAAATACCGCAAAACTAGTGCACGACACCTTCATGGGCTGCGCTATTCTTTCTACATGTCGACAGATCCACTGCGAGGCAAAATTCATCATTCGCCGTATCCTACGCAGGATCAATAACGCTCCCATAAGATTCATCACACTTCCAAATCCTAACCAATGGTTCATGGAGCATCTGGCCTATATTATCTCTTACATCTCGGTCCTCCCGATCGGCCAAAAAGTCAGTAAATGCCTTTATGACGCTCTCATCAAGGCCGCTCCTAGGGAAACACTTCACCACCCACGGTCATTGGCATTTAGACGCGTCTCTCCACAGTCACTCATAAATAATGCATCGCCACTTAGCATTCACATTGCAGTTGAAGAACATGGTAGTTTCTGGAAAGCGTTACCCTGTGGTCGAATTCCAATACGAATGTTACCAAGAGCTGCTGCCACTCATTCATTCACGACCCATTCTTTCATGGACTCCATGATGCATCATTATCGCGGGTTTCCAGGCCGTAGGGAGTTGGACATACGGTGGCATAGCGCGCCGATAAAGCCAGAAACTAAGGTGGCTTCTGGTCGTAATCGTGTCCATGAGGGTAGACACATGCAAAACGTCCTATATGGTGGGATCGTGACGAATACCACGGCCTTCCACACAGAGATTAAGGAGGCGGAATGGGCGAGCATGTGGGCTCCAGGTGAGCAACAAGATGGGTGGGGTCTTGAATTTTGACAGTTGGCATTCGCATAACAATCAGTGCGAAATTTTTTTTACGCTCACCACGCTGGGAGGTCGCTATAATTGTTTAAAGTCGTTTAGGTGCGGTAGTTTTAAGGCTCGTTAGGTTGAGTATACTACGGTACCAGAGTTGGTACTAAATTCGAAGCGCACACACAAGATCATCTCAATATTGTAATTCAGAATTAGGCAGAACATGAATCGCAACTGAGAAATCGGATTTATAATCTTATGCATCAGAAGGATACCACCACTGGTTGATGTCGCAGATAGCGCGGCTCTCGTCATTCATAGAATAGGCAAGCATATGTTATCTGAGTAGTAGCTAGATGCCGGAGAAAAGATATACGTCTGTTCGCACAAAAAGTGGCATGGTGTTGAGGAGGGTTCTTGGCGACATCTCGTCGCTTCGTATCAAGTCTAAACCCAAAGGAGACTCAGGTTCGCTACGTCATCGGCAATGGAGAATTCCGCCCAAACTCCACTGGGCCCCTGATGTAACTTGGAACTACCATCCAGCAGGGTTCTTGGTGAGCCCACGCCGACGATGCGCCGTTGTGTTGCATATATTTTTCGCTATTATGCCTCGGCAAGCCCGCACACTGCTCAACATTGATTCCGCATTGGGAACCTTCCCCAGTAAACGTCCCAAAGGTCACCGGACGACACCAAAACAAATACGGCAAAGCCACAATTGCTAATAGTGGACCCCTATAAGCGTTGCGTACGCACATCGCGACTCCGGTAACGACTGTGTCGCACACAACGACGACGACAACGACCACATGGCGCAACAATTCCTTGCCGACCGTAATGGCTGGCTATCATTTCGCAGCAGCACACCTATGCTGTACATCACGTCTGAAGACCAGGAGTTCGATATTGAGACTATGAAGGCATGGCGGGACGAAGGCTTCATCGTGGAATATATTCCCATGGGCAAAGGCGGAAAGCAGTACGTACAGACGCTCTATAAGTTGGGCGACGGTATGGGCATTGGGGAGCGGTACGCGATCGTAGGTATATGATCCTTTCGCACCCCGGCGCATGGTACATGTGTGCCTACTATGCGCCAAAATCTCCTGAAGTATGCGCTGACTATCGTTCTGTAGCCTTTGGGGATGCAGCAGCGGTATGCCTCGACGTCTTCTCCGAGCCCAAAACCGCAACCTCCAAACTCTGTTCTCTGATCGCTTATTACCCAACCTCCATTCCCGATACCCGACATCGCTTTACGTCATCCTTTCGAGTACTCGTACATCTTCCGGAAGGACTGCCTGGTAACGAATCTACCGTTGGCGTGGTACGTCGGCCAGAAGTCCTTGGTATACAGGGTAAGCGGAAAACGGTACAAAAGCGTGTTACACCGGGCATTGGCGCAGGCGGACTGCAAGATAAAATCGTATATCCATGCTTCACCTACGAGGGTGTAGAAGCCGGATTTGCCGAGCACGATTTGGACGAGTATGATGCAGTCGCCGATGCGCTGGCTTGGAGCAGGAGTTTGAGCACAGTCAGGAAGGGTTTCAGTGCTGAAGTTGATTTGGAGAGAGTTTGGGAGGAAAACGAAGAGCGTATGTCGATGTGCTACATCATGTTCTTCTCCTAGTGACTAACACCGAACAGAAAAATACCGCGGCAAATCCGTCGATAAACTGCTCGACACCTACACCAAAGCACCTACACCCTTTATAAACTTCACTCCCACCATGACAGGTGCCTCAGGTCTTCCCGACCTAAAACGCTTCTACCGCGACTACTTCCTCAAAACCTCGCCGCCTTCACTCCACATGCGCCTCATCTCACGCACCACTGGTGCCGATCGCGTAGTAGACGAGCTCTACATCAACTTCAAACACACGTGCCAGATGCACTGGATTCTTCCAGGTGTGCCCCCAACAAACCAGAAAGTTGAAATCGTTGTGGTAAGCATCGTGGGGTTCAGAGCGGGCAAAGTGTGGAGTGAAAGGGTCTACTGGGATCAGGCTAGTGTGCTGTTCCAAGTCGGCTTGTTGGATCCGGAGGAGGTGCCGGAGCAATTCAAACGGAAGGAAGGTGATGATGAAGGAGACGGTTTGGAAATGCTGCCTGTCAGTGGGAGCGAGGCTGCGAGGAAGGTCATGGACGTTGAGAGTGAGGAATTTAATGATATGATTGATGACTGGTAAAAGTACCATGAATCTGAGGGAACAGAGGAGATTGTTTGGTTCTTGCATGTTTGATACCTTGTTTGTAGCAATTGCGAAATGTTTTCTTGAATTATCAACTCACTTAACATGAACGCGAGCTTCTACAGCCATAAACATCTTTGACATTGTCTTCAATACGGAACACAACATGAATTGGTACCCCAGTGACCGTCTCGAATGCTGTCGACCGACGACGTTTTGATCGTACAATGGGCTGCGGCATGTGGGCCACTTGTCATGTATGCGGTTGTTGATTTTTACGGAAGCATGCTTGGCCAAAGACGTGACGGCATCCTTGAACCTCGACGACGATGTGGTCGGCTGGGTCGAAGGTCTCGCTGCAGATGCTGCATACGAGGGGTTTGGAGGATGCAAGGAAGGCTTGCGCCGCAGGCTCTAGGCATTGATGCATGATTGATACGAGATTGGAGTGAGTGAACTCGATGGGTTGTGTAGAGTCAGGAGCAGAGTTGTGAGTGCTCTGCTGTAGTTCGGTGGGTAATAGGCAGAGCAGCCTGATGTACCACAGTGCCTCGTGAGTGGATCCTGCTGGTACACGCAGATATTCATTATTCTGGTTAGTACATGAGTATAATACCCCGGAATTCATTGATCACTGACAGCCTTCGTAACCATTCAGTCTCCGATAAAGTCAAAGGGCCTCATCGAGACAGGGTCACGACTGATACTCTTCGTGAGGTAAGATATTCCCATGAATATGTGAAGAAATGGTCGAACTTCAAGACACTGAAGAGTGTAACGACAGAAATTTATATTTTCGTACGTCCGGAAAACCTCAAAAGCGACTGGACATCTACATCTCATCGTACATCATGAGTGATATCATAGGATGTAGCTGCCGTAAAAAGAGGGTATCCAAACAACATGTAAACTAAGAGTAAGGAGCGATGGCAAGAAAGTAACGAATGTCGTATTAATTTGGGGACAACCGAAAAGAGCGTATCATGACAGTAAGGACTGATGATTTACCTGATAGAAACCACATAACTCAATGAAAAGAGTGCAGGGAGACAATCACCTCACTCTCTTGCGACCGAAATACTGCAAAAGCTGTTGTGTTTCCATCCAGATATCTATGCTGTCGTAAAGGGTGTTCGGGGCGACTCGGGGAGCGAGTGGTGGTCCTCGTGATCGCTCTCAGACTCTCTCTCATCTTCGAACCGAACTTGGCGGGGAGTTGGAGGCTCCGTATCATAGACTGATGATGTTCGGTGCATCGATGTACGCGGTAGAACATTGTCGGCACGCCTCCCTGTAGCTATACTTCTGACAGCACCGCCGGTAGTGGTCGACTCGATTGATCTGCGAACCTCTGCTCTGTTCAAATTGGCCTGCATAGCCAAGTTGAGAGAATGGGGGCGGTGCTCTCGGGATCCACGCGTGGTTTCGGCGATAGTTTCAGCTTCTGAAAACCGAGTTTCGCTTATACTGAGGGGGTGTGTAGCGATTGTAGCGTTACTCCCACGAATTGAGTCCAAGTGCTCGTCGCTACCAAGCCAGCCACCTATATGGGCCAAAGAGAAACGACGTTGAGAGTAAGGATCCAGAGTCAATTGCAAACAATCTGGGACACTAATCTGAGTCTCGTTGTCGACCATAGCAGGCGGGTTCGTTGGACAATCCGGAAGCGCTTTGAACCCTGTGATTTGTTCACGGCCCCATTCGAACAGCTGATGAGCAGGCAAAGGCTGCAATACGTGTGGGTCCAGGGCTTTGAGAGAAGCTAACGCATCGGCAGAGGTACTTGCTCCATCGCAGATATTAGGTGGATTGGCTACAGGTCCAGTTTCGAGTGTTACGGATGAGTTTGTATTGTCGTCACAGGCTGTGGAGTGCAATGAAGGAGGTTGGACGTTGGTAGTCAAAGACTCGTGCGCTCCTTGATGCTGCTCTGGCATGGATTTTTTCCTAACAAACCATGAGCCACGATTGGGCAGCTTCGAAACAATTCTCTGCTTGATATGGCGCAGAAAGTGAGAACCTTTGGCACCAAAACGGTTGCTCTTTTGTGTCTGCCTATGTTCTGTATGAGTCTTGGCATTGCGCAATCCAGACACACTTTCGATAAGAGCCATAGGTGTTAATCCAGGTTCATTCTCAGTTGTTGTTGGGGGCCCGTGAAGGCCAACACGAGTGGTTGAGCGGACAGATGTCTCTCGCGATGGAACAGACGAGGTCGCTTCTGGGATCGCTGTGAGAGTGGGCGACAATGCGGCAATGGGAGTAGCAGCTCGTATAATATGAATGAGGGCAGCGCGAAACTCAGACTCCAGGGGTGGTGGCTCTATACTCATGGTAGACAACAGGGAGAGGCGTGTAGTATTGATTTGTCCAAAGGCTAACCACAGCCTGTGGCACTTTTCGCAGTGAACATTGCCGAATTGAGTAGAGTCGCCTGATACGCGGACGCGCATACGAAGAGATCTGTGGTGGTGATGGCAGCTGGGACAGTTTCCACTGAGGTTCATTGCCCAATAGCCTGGAGGCAACTGAGTTGCGCTGCCGGTAGACGACGCTGTATCCTGTCTGGCGAGCTCGAAGACAGGATTCGTAACAGCGGAAGGTCCATGGTCATTGCTAAGCGGAGCTATAAAGCTGGGAGTCCGGGAAGTCATCCTGGAGAAATTGAGTCCAGGTGTCGGCCCTGGCTAAGCGTAGAGTTCGCTTCCACGACTGTAGTGGCCTGGAGCGTCCTTCGCTGGATGCATGGAATTAAGCGTAATTCTGGAGCCGATGTTAGGGCACCTGCAGGTGAGAGCGATTTGTAGGATATATATATTGCTCGGTATCGTATGGTCAATGTTGAAGGATTCCGAATTGGGTCGAGATGAGGTTGTCGAATACCCGTCGTACAGAACGGGCGTCCGAATCCTCTTAATATGCCTAGCAGCATGAGGCTGAAATTTAACGGACCCAGTTACTAATTTGCGTTTGCTTCTAGGCACCTGCAAACTGAGTGTAGACATGCTGGAGGTTTGTTGAGCGGTAAGTGTGGCGCAGTGAGTGAGCTTCGCCCCCAGGAACCTGTGGAGGCTTATGGACCGGGGGCTAAATCGCGGCATCGTGACATACCTAGCTGCCACACCGTCATAGAAGAACACGGATCGATGAAGTTTATGGGTCAATCTTTTAGAGAGAGAAACGAATCGGACAGTACCAATGTGTCATTTAAATCTCCTTTGCTTATGAGGATGTACAATAGAAAGAACCTACATGGGTAATGACGAAGAGACATGAGATGGGCGGGTAGAGGAAAGATTTGCGGCAGCAGCACCGCATCAAGCTCGGCATTACTTAGAGACACAAGACCATGGATGCAAGTATAGGTTCAATCCGTATGACCTGAAGACAAGGGTTGTCGAAGCCCAAAAAGCCCATCGGCATGGATAGGTGTTCGCAAATCGTTCTGTAGCATCTTGAGCGCTTGTCGCGCGACTTTAACGTGCGGCTGAAGGCGTCAGCCTGGTAGTCCAAGCAACGCTTTCGGAAATGACGCGGGATCATCTATGCGAACTATGTCATGCCTCTGCAAGCTCTTGTTGCGGGAAGCACATTGCGAGCGCGCGTGCCTCGCTACGCAGCCTGGTTCTGGCTTCAGTGTGCATGCACAGCCTGCGATCCTTGGTGATGGGTAAATTGAACAAACGGACGGTGAGAGACAAGAGCGGTGAAGCATACGGTGAGAGTCCTGGGGCGAGATGATGCAATCGCAACTATTCACACTGCCAGGAAGCAGCGCAAGAAGACGTCTTTCAGAAGACATTCGGAGCCCTGAAAAGGATGTTGGGGTGGCAGGAGCCCTGACCTGAACAAGTTAGCGTGGACGCTCGGACTACACACAGCATCTTGGCCCACACGCTTACAATCTCAAAATTCGTCTCGCATCCTCAAGAGCATCGCCAACACCACATCGACGACGCACGACAAGCCGCCATCATGTGTAAGTACAGCCATCCCTGGTCAACATATTTCATTTGTTGCGACTGTTTCTGTTCCAGCGCCGAGAGTATCGTGCCCGGCGCGGGAGGAGGGGTTGCAATGATGGAAAATGAGAGGTGCATGGTACAGACATGCTGACAATGTTATAGCGCTCGTCTCCGGAGAGAAGTCCAAGTACGTATAAACAACAAACCAGGACTCCCAAATGTCCACCATCGTTCCCACATCGATATCTCCGCCGTGCGCCATCCACCACCGCGATTCGCCCTTTCAGTGTAGCAGCATGTGGCAAGAGAAGGAAATGGGTCAAATGAGGTGACAAGGAAGGATCCATATGGAAATCTCGGAAACCAATGAATTCGAAGAAATAAACCCGTCATGCTGTTTTACTGGAGGGGTGAATTGCGGAAGTTGTTAGGTTCAACGACAGGGAAGCGCGGCGTGCAATCTCGAGGCCATTGCGTACCGTCAGAGCAGTGCTGACTTGACCAGCTTCCAATACATCATCCGTTTGTTGAACACAAACGTCGATGGAAAGCAGAAGGTCATGTACGCCTTGACCAAGATTACTGGTGTCGGTCGCCGATACTCCAACTTGGTCTGCAAGAAAGCCGATGTCGATCTTACCAAGCGCGCTGGTGACCTCACCTCCGAAGAGCTTGAGCGTATCGTCACCATCATCCAGAACCCCCTCCAGTGTAGGTTTCAGTCGCCCCGAACCCACAGGCTCCTTCACTGACAATTTCACAGACAAGATTCCCTCTTGGTTCCTCAACAGGCAGCGCGATATCGTCGACGGCAAGAACAGCCAGGTCCTCGCCAACGGTGTTGCCTCCAAGCTCCGTGACGACCTCGAGCGCTTGAAGAAGATCCGTGCTCACCGTGGTCTCCGTCACTACTGGGGCCTCCGTGTCCGTGGTCAGCACTCAAAGACCACTGGTCGCCGTGGCCGAACCGTCGGTGTCTCCAAGAAGAAGGGTTAAAGGTTTTCGCTTGCGCTGGGCAGCTTGGGCAGGAACATGCCTTTACGAAATGGGGTGGTGCACTTACGGTGTTTATCAAACGGCTTTCATTGGCTTTCACGCTTACACTTCATGCGGCAATGCACGATATGAGGTGACGTGATGCGGCATGGTTAGGGTTGGCCGAATACAGCCTGTACCAAAAATCACACATTCAAATTTCGACCTGTTCCAACATCTGTTCGTTGCTTTTGCTTCCCATAGCACCGGCCCGCTCGCTGTGTGGCGCCCAAGTCGGCTAGTGACTGGTAAATGGGACTACCGTGGCGTGTGCGGCCACACTGCGTGCACCACGTCACACAATCATCAATGCTTGTTTGGATCCACTTCACGATGCACTATGGTCTTCTGACTTTTGATTCTCATGTACCAGAGGTAGGCAGATCGGGACGATCCGCTAACGGCGTCTAAGCTTGCAGCACTTTACCTGGATAGGAGGTCTACGCAAGCAGTGTATGAATCGCACCCACATGGAACATGATTACACGACCATTACACCGGCGCTGACTCGGGTGCCCACAGGCAAGTACAAGTTGGCATGGTGCGCACTCCTCCGATACACCAATCCCGACGGTGCGCAAATCGGGTGCAGGCGCTAAGTGTGGAGTGAGCTGTTTCCCATGCATGCTGCAGCATCAAGCTTGCCCGACGGTCGGCGTCAGTCTCTTTATCGTCATCTTACCCAATGGCAGTGGTACCGCACTTCCCCGCAAAGTGAGCTTTTTTCCTGGCTGCGCCAGCCTCGGAAAGCCTGCAATTCTTCTGTAGTGGGCGCGGCATGGTTGCAGATTTTGGTATGCAGGGCCAGCAAACAGGCCATGCTTGCAGCCTGAGTTACTTTGTTCATATAAGCCTTACTTCCACCCGGCGACATTGCTGCCCCCCTTAGGCCGCAGGCGTAGGGCCTGTTCTCATCTCACTTTTTGCTCTGGCGTCGTTGCCCGCATTCCCCCTCCTGTCTCGTCTCCCCCTTCTTTTACCACGGCCCCTTTGTTGCGTGTGCTGTGCTATACTTCAGGATGGCGACAATGTATTCCTTAGCAATGATGCCGCGTACGCCCTCGCCCAAAGTGCGAATCCGATCCCAGTCGTTCGATTCCCCTGGCTCTGGCGGCTCGCGGAGCAGTACCACACCAATTGAGCACTACTCGCCCTTTTCCAAATCCACGGGCGCCATCAAGACGCTGAGCAGCTACGAAGCTATCAAAGCTGTTGCGGAAAAGGTTATGCGACCTCTCGGTGTGATGCTCTCCCCGCTCAACACCAAGATGAGCGATGACGAGGAGGAGGAATCGGACACCGAGTCAAGCAGCAGTAATAATAGTAGTCCGTCCTCATCGCCTACTACGACGAGCTTCCACAGCGCAGTGTCATCATCCCCTATATCAGCATCGTCGGCGTCGCGACGGAGTAGTCGTCGCAGCCATCCTCCCGCCGAAACGCACAGTGCGAGCGATATTGTCGAGTTTGAGCCCACGTCCCCGTTCTTATACCAGGATACGAGCTCCAAAATGTATTCGCCGTGGCTGGTGCGTGTGGTGCTGGATATGTACGATGTGAGGGGCTTGTGCTGGATGGATATCGCGGATCCAATTGAGCGGGTTTGGGGCGTGCAGACGAGTAGTGCCGAGGTGTTGGGGATTCTGAGTGATAATGGGAGGGTGGGGGTTAGACGGTGGTGGGATTGATGACGTCTGCTGTGCTGGTTATTGTGGGTCGCGCTTGGAGTGTTGTTCTACGTTCCTTTGTTTTTCCTGGGAGCATGATGGAAGGCGTTTACAATGGTCATGTTTTCACGACGCACGGTATGGTATGGTACGGTATGTGTTCACGACTTATGACTTTCCCTTCTGGTTCTTGCAGGTAGCCAGGAACAAGCCAGCACGACTTCATTGAACGATTCACTATCACGACTTATGATCAGTACGAAATGTAAAACATTACAGTGTCAAAACCCCCTTTATTCCATCCGCCAACATCCCATTTGCTCGCACATCTCTCATTGCTAAAAATACCGTTCCAATACCTCGGGGCCGAGGCACAAGAAGAAGCCTTTGAACTGCCGTATCACGTACCCGGCTTATCGTGCGTGGCGTACTGCAGCAAGTGAGAAGAGGGAGAACAGATGTCCAGACATGGTTGGCTCTACTCTTCGCCCAATACATATCGAAGTTGTGAGACGCAGCATTGGCGACAGTTCAGGGTAAGTTATTGGCGGATTTCAAGCATGTTACGTGAAGAAACAGAGATGGAACGGTGAGGCTGTATTACATGGATGGCATGTGTTGAGTAATGCAGATGCATGGAAGGCTTGTCTAAATTATCTTGGAAAGCTAGTTTTATGCCTACGAACGGCAATGTGCTGTGTATGCAGATATACACATATGAATCGCTTCGATAGGCTCTACGAATGGTTGCGCTGGGCAATGATGGGGCAGTGGTACACCCTATCCATCCTGGGGTGACGAGGCGGTAGTTGTCGTGCGCGTTGCAATTCGAAAGGGGCAAGCGCTTTTCTCTCGGCGGACATGAGCGCTGTTCCTAGACTGTTTGTCTCTTGTGCGGTACACGTGAGGACGGGCGTCTTGCGCGAGGCGTGTGTCTCGAGTCATCACTCACTCGTCGGCGCCAACAGCCATCTCCAGGACCTCTACATTGCCCCTGCCCTTTGTCTGGCCCTCGATTAGTTCGTTCAAGCCCTTGAAAGCTCCGGGCTCGACTAGACCCACTGCCTCCCACTCAGCACCCAGAGTATCTTGGCTTTCAATCTTCTCCATGAAGCCCAGTATCGCATCCTTGACTGTTCCGCTTGACCCCTTTTCCTCGGTACCGGGTTGCGCTTTGGGTGCGGTTTTAATGGCTTGCTTGAGGACGGACGTAGGGCATGTAACGCGCAGCTTCATCTGCATTCGGGCGACGGGTATGGGCTGGTGCGCAATGAGCGCCTTCATAGCAAAAAGTGCCTGCGACTTGGACGACTTGTTGGTAACAATGCCAGTCCATTTTGGCAGCTCCTTTGCCTTGCCCTTGTCCTCGCCATCTTCCTTGCTCTCTCCCTTGTCCTTCTCTCCCTGCTGTGTTGCGGCGGCCGAACTGAGCTGATCTAGCGCCTTTTCAATCATGCCTGTCGTGTATACGCGCTTCGTCTTGGGGTCTACGAGTTTTCCCGCCACGATATCGATGACCTCATTCTTGGTGCGCTCGAGTTCGGCATTTCTCTCCTTCTCGCCTACCTGAAGTTCTCCATGATCCAGGATATCTATGATAATCTCCTCGAGCGACTTCTTGGGGAAGGCCTTTTCGAGATCGGCTTTGGGCGCGACTTGGCCCTTTGAGACGTTGAGGAAGACGTTTTCGATTTGCAGCACGTTGGAGAGATCCTTTTCATTCTTGGTGCGCCACTCAAGGACCTTGTTCTTGTAGCAGGCGATTTCGAAGCGCTTCTTGCCTGAGCTTGTGTTAGCAGTTTGGGGCAGACGGGAGGGGTGGTTCGGCGGGGTCGGCGCACCTTTCTTCATGCGCACCAGGGATACATTGGTGAGCTTGATCTGGTTAGACGGCTGATTGATTCCGACGGGCATATTCGCTGATTACGGAGGTTCTATTTTACAAAGTCGTGGAAGACTAGGGGGTGTTGAGCGCGAGTTGCAAAAGTTGGTTAACATTTTGGTGGGGTCCGGCTGTCACTGACATGCGCAGGTTCACTCACTATGATTCCAAAGCGCGCTAGTCCTCATTCGGAACATGCAAGGGCCCGGAACTTAGCTTCCACCCCAGACAGCGCGCCACGCAAGCTATCCATTTCGAATGCAGCGGAATGGGGCTGCAAACGTGGGTTGATGTCTTTGATTAGGTCGCTGCGGAGCCGGCTGCCCTGCCAGATGCGCCGGCTAAGGTTATCGTGAAACGCTAAGCCCATGTGATGCACGCGCTCGGACGCGCCAGCCACTCCGATAAGCTGTAGCTACTGGCGTGCGTCATGCTCCGTTGCCTAGACAAGTCGCGCCTCCTCCACAAGAGCTACCCATACCTCTCTCTTTCTCACACCGTCTCCATCCCATCTCTCTCCACTTTCATCCCTCTCCTCCCCCATCATCCCCATCATCTCCATCATCCAGTGCTTCTTCATTAAAACGTAGAAGCGCTCTTTATCAGCTTTCAAGCGTCTGCTAGAGCTCCGGAAGCTCAGCACAGCGCCGCCATCATGAAGGTAGCCACTTCGGCGCTCCTCATCGGAGCCGCCGCTGCTCAGCAGCAGCAAATCCTCAAGTTCCCCGACTCGTTCAGCGAGCTCAAGGAGTCTTCATGGACCAAGCCTCTCCAGAACCTTGAGGAGAGCCTCAAGTCCCTCACGGGCGAGGCTCGTGCCACCTGGGACGAGATCGCCATGATGTTCCCCGAGAGCTTCGAAAAGGCGGCCTTTTTCAGCGAGCCCAAGCCGCACACGCGCAAGCAGGACAGCGAGTGGGACCACATCATCAAGGGCGCCGACATCCAGAGCGTCTGGGTCGAGAACGAAAAGGGCGAGAAGGAGCGCGAGATCGACGGCAAGCTCGAGCAGTATAGCTTGAGGGCCAAGAAGGTAGACCCCAGCGTACTCGGTGTCGACAAGGTCAAGCAGTACTCCGGCTACCTCGATGACGAGGAGGAGGACAAGCACTTGTTCTACTGTGAGTACCCCAATGACCACCACCCACGACTCCCCATCTAACAAATCCCAGGGTTCTTCGAGTCGCGCAATGACCCCAAGAACGACCCCGTAGTGCTTTGGCTCAATGGCGGACCCGGCTGCTCATCGCTCACTGGTCTCTTCATGGAGCTCGGACCTGCCTCCATCACAAAGGACCAGAAGATCAAGCACAACCCCTACTCGTGGAACAGCAACGCTTCCGTCATCTTCCTTGACCAGCCCGTCAATGTCGGATACTCATACTCGAGCGGCTCAGTGAGCAACACTGTTGCTGCCGGCAAGGACATCTATGCCCTGCTCACCCTCTTCTTCAAACAATTCCCAGAGTACTCCCACCAGAGCTTCCACATCTCTGGCGAGTCGTACGCCGGTCACTACATTCCCGTCTTTGCCTCTGAGATTCTGTCCCACAAGAACCGCAACATCAACCTCCAGTCCGTTCTCATCGGTAACGGTCTGACAGACGGTCTTACTCAGTACGAGTACTACCGCCCCATGGCCTGCGGTGAGGGTGGCTGGCCTGCTGTTCTCGATGAGTCTCAGTGCAAAGCCATGGACAACGCCTACCCTCGTTGCGCCAGCCTCATTGAGAACTGCTACAACTCCGAGTCTGTCTGGTCTTGTGTGCCTGCCTCCATCTACTGCAACAACGCCATGATCGGTCCTTACCAGCGCACTGGCCAGAACGTCTACGATGTCCGCAAGCCCTGCGGTAGCAACTCGCTCTGCTACGATGAGCTTGACTGGATACAGGGATACCTCAACAAGAAGGAGGTCATGAAGGCTGTCGGTGCTGAGGTCTCCAATTACGAGTCCTGCAACTTTGACATCAACCGCAACTTCCTTCTCCAGGGTGACTGGATGAAGCCCTTCCACCGCGTCGTCCCCGGAATCCTCGAGAAGATCCCCGTACTCATCTACGCTGGTGATGCCGACTACATCTGCAACTGGCTCGGTAACAAGGCTTGGACTGAGGCTCTTGAGTGGCCCGGTGCCAAGGCCTACAACCAGGCCAAGATGGAGGACTTTAAGATCGATGGCGATGGCAAGACTGTTGGTCAGGTCAAGTCCAGCGGCAACTTCACCTTCATGAGGCTCCATGCTGGTGGCCACATGGTCCCATACGACCAGCCTGAGGCGTCGCTCGAGATGCTCAACAGGTGGTTGGGAGGTGGCTTCTGGAAGGCTTAGATGCTTTCTGAAGATGAATTAATGGTTTAAGATTGTCACATTGGGTGCTTGTCAAGATTGCGAACGGATGGATAATCAGGTTCGCTTCTATGTAATTCAAATTGATTAGTGTATCTAATACTCGTAGCTATCAATGTACAGAACTCACAAATCTCCAGTGTACTTGTACTTGTGATTTGTTCCAAACTTGTTTGATTCTAGTTGTTCTTCGCCCTTACGCCTTATATCCTGGAACGGCAAGCGGAGATTCTAAAGACTATCCCTGGACCATGAAGTGGAAGTGTTCCAGCCGTTTTCGAGAAATGAACGTTCCGGTTGTAAACAGCCAAGAGGCGATTTTCTCGGATACATGTAAAACGTCCCCGAAGGTGGTATAGACAATGATTTCTCTTGAGTGACCACGAAATATGCCTTATAGAGATCCAATAGGAGCTCGCTTCCCACAACAGTGTGCACATGTGCTATTCCGATCGCTAGATGAGTAGTAAATCAGCAATTTATCCATTGCACATACCCTATGACCAACCTGCTTTTTTTACACTTCTCTAACTCACGTTTCTCTACTAAATCGACCGCCCGTTGTTTCTCAGGTCACCTGAATCTCGCAACTTAAGCTTCGATGATCATATTCCCTTTGCATCTGCCACGCTTGCCGGTGTAATATTCAAAAGATGTGATTCTGGGCGCTGCTCCTTCATCTTGCACACCTTTTTTCCGGCAAAACACCACACTTTCTATGTGCGCGACCGAAATTTGTGATATCCTAATACAGTTGTGAAGGTAGCCTACTATACCACGAGCAAACACGAGATAGTAGAGAGGAGAGGTTTTAGCATTTAATCCTTTAGTAGTCTAGAACTAGTAGTGTAGATGGTTATTTCTTTAGGATTCTTTTGTAGAAGCTAAAGGAAGGGGCAATAGCTATAACGTAGTAGTAATAAATATGCCGTCTTAATTAGTCTGTAGTGGTGGTCTTTCTAGGTGGGTATGGAAGATAATAGACGTATTGAAGCTTGAAGCTTGAAGCTTGAAGCATGCTTAACTTCTCTTCTTTTAATCATCTAGAATGCGAGAAGGTGGAGAGTATAGGTCTAGATAACCCTCCTCTAGCTCTAGAACGGGTGGCGTGGGCGGCCTTTTCTCTGTGTCTCCCGTGGAAGCTGGAAGACGGGGTGACATTGCTTTTCCCTCCCGCTCATACGCCTCGAATCCTTTTCGCAAATCAAGCAGGAGGCGACGACATCTTGCGCGCTGGAAATAGCGTAAATCAGGCCAGTGGCACCGAGGATAGATAGTCTTGGCTTCCTGGTCTTGTTAGTTTGTCTGTACCAGAGTTCCATTGCGTAACAACACTCCACTCCGCGGACGCCAGGGAAGTAACAGGAAAATGCTCTAAACTCACGTTAGTCCATGTCAAAAAGGCATGATTATGGGAGCTACGATCTTCCAGATGTCCACCTTCGGGGACTGTCCAAATCTCCCAATAATCCCAACCAGGACCTCCAGGAACTGGTATCATTTTCAGCGATATCAGGTCCTCACACAAGCCTTCAAAATAGGCAGTCGTAGGCATGGGGGAAGATGTACGCCATTCCTCATCTTCTGGTACTTCCCACTCAGTAGACGGGCCATGAGGAGTAAGCTCGCCTACGGTAAAAAGTATCGAATTAGAAACCAACAAAAAGGCCGTAGAACTACACCAAAAACCACTTGTCGAATTGTTCGCATTCAGACTTACCATTGTTAGTATCCAGCATCCACCACGTCTCCAGACCAGCCGCCTCGATAGGATGCGATAATGGAACAACGCCCTATGGAATCCGCACTCCGGGAAACGGCCACATTTCCGTCCGGTGGGGATCTTCGAGCATATAGTCTTCCTCGGGGTAACGGAAGAGATTCGTGTAGTAGTTTCGGGTCGTCGTGTAGGGAAACGCGGGTCTGTCGCTGCTGTGTGAGAAAGGGACGTGGCGGATAAAGTCAATCATTCGCTCGTTGAAGCCCAGAAGACGTAACTTCGAAAGCGAGAGCATGCTATCGGAACGCCCGCCTTGTCCGGCGTATGCAATGTCTTTTGGCTTTATCGATACCATTTTGGAGAGGAGCTCGTAGTATCGCGCTATGCTGGCTACGATGGCATCGCGGTCGTAACTTGGGGCAGCGTCCTGGTTTGGTGATGTGGCCGACATTGTAGCGGATATACAGTGTGAGGAAGTCCAAAAAGACTGTGATAGACGAATGGCGGTTTGATCTGGCGAAATCGTCTCTTGGCTCTGCCTAGGAAAAGTTGTCTTCAATACCCCGCGTCCCTCTGCCTTTCATTTCCAGCCCGCCCCTTGCATAAGGGCATCCACCACCGCTCGATACCCGATCATCAACGCGATTGTACCTGAGACGCGTCCGTGCTAGCAGCTAACGAAATGGATACGTCGTGGTCGGCAGTCTCTCAATGAAGCCTCGTTGTACGAGCAACAACTATGATATGTCAACCAGACGCCTTGATGACATAACTGGCGTTCTAGAAAGAACGTTTTGCTATATGCAGTGTAACAGTGGGGAAGCGGGAAACAATGTGACTAACCGAATATAATGAGGATTGAGCAAAGTGTGATGTAGTCTCGACCCGGGATTACGTGAGAGACCCTTGTTGTCAAACAAAGATGCGATTTCATCATGGTAAATCATAAATGGCACTGACGATGTACTGACGACACGCGATATGGTCCTGGTCCTGAGAAAAGGTGCATATAAAGACTCACCTGTCGAGCGTCAGCTGTTCTACATCAATCATCACAACATCGTCTCCAATCTCACAACTACTACAATCTCAAAACTCTACCAAATTCACCAACTGAACATCATCATCATGTCTGGCAACGACAACCCCGGCAACTTCGCCAACCGCCCCAAGGAAGAAGTCAAGGCCGCGGCCCAGAAAGGCGGAGAGCACTCTCACAGCGGTGGCTTTGCTTCCATGGATGCCGACAAACAGGTATACGCATCGCTCTCACAACTTATCTCAATATTTACTAACATGCTAAATAGCGCGAGATCGCTTCCAAGGGCGGCAAGGCCTCATCTGGCAACTTCGAGCCCGGCAGTGAGAAAGCCAAGGAAGCCGGACGCAAAGGAGGTCAGGCGTCTTAGATCTGGTCATCAACACCCGATATTGCTCGGCATCACGACTTGGAGACATGATATTGCTTAAATGGTGCATGTGTCGCGCAAGAAGGCCAGCTGGAAGCCTTGAGTAGTCAGTGAAATGGAAACATGAGTCACAAATTCATATAAAGTCTTCCTTGGTGATCTGAATGATGTAAAATCCATTTTGATTCTCGAAATTGTTGAATTGTTTTCCGTCGTAATACAAATACACCAAACTGTGTAAACGTTTTGTTCAAATATCGACCTATCCTAACCGTCATAAAAGCATGAGAAACATAAATAGAGGCCTTCCTCCGAGTATAGTATATGCGAACCGATCGACGATTCATATGCAGTACAAAAGCGTATAAGAGAGAAGAGTCATAAGACTATCGAGGTCCAAGAAGAAGTAGAAACACAACAACCAGCGTCCAGGAACGTGATGAACGAGTGTGAAGAAGAGAAAGAGTTATGTACCGTTAAACGAAGCTTCCGGTCACTTTTAGAGGCCCGACCACATGCCGTTTAACCGTACATGTCGCAGCTGAAGGTCTTGATCTTGTACTCGCTTATACCAGCGACTACACCACAGTTGACATCCCAGGCAAGCTCAAAGTCGTCGCTCTCAGGCACACGGTCCTTCGCGCCGGCCGCGCACTTGGCGTCGGTAGTATAGTATGAGACCTCCATCTTGGGGGCAGTCTTCCAGTCACAAGCATCCGTACGCCTGTAAAAGGTACGGCGGTGTAGGCGAAGAGCCTTGCGTTCGATGGCTTTGTCGGGCGAGTCACAAGTGCAGCGTGCGGCCAGAGTGAGCTCATCGCGGCGGCAGTCGCAGCGGGAACCGTCAACATCATAGCGGCGAGTGTTTGGCTTGACTTGCGGGTGAGGGCGTCCCCACTTCCATGAGTTACCATAGGAGTTGTCAGGTTGTTCAGCCTCGCTGGTAGGAATCGCTGATGGCTCGTACGGTTGGTAGATCGTGGTTGCCACCACATTCGTAACAGTGACAACTGAGGGTTGCTGGGGCTGAGGCACCTGCGGCGCGGGGGTCTCTTTGGGTTTAGTTGGAGAGTATGCTGGTGGTTTGGGCTGAGTCGCGGATTGAGAAGGCTTGCTGGGCTCAGTGCCAGAGTCGGCAGCGATGTTAACCTTGGCACAATTCACAAAGGCCTCATGCTCGCGATTCAGCCACACCCACCCGAATAGAGCGTCGCCTGCAGGCATTCCAGTAGGAACCTTGAAATCGAAAGTCTGAGCTTCGGGTGAGCCATCCTCTGTTGCGTGAGGACAAGCACCGTGATACGAAGCAGCCATCTTCCACGTCTTGCCCTTATCCAAAGAGAACCCTACCTGACAAGAGCCTCCCGAGTGTGTGCCGCCGGGCGCCGCCGGATCGTAGTCGTAATTAGTAAGCTGGAAGTGGGCATCTTGGCCAGACTTCCATGTAACGCTCGCCTTCTCGGTATCGTACTTGTCTAGATGACCGCGGCAGATACCAGGTGAAGGTCTGCTGTCACCACCGTCGGGACCGCAGCAGCCGAGGGGAAAGTTGAACTCGGGGTCAAGTGTTTTCGATTGGCGGTTGATGCCTGGAGCTCCACCCAAGGGAGCTGGATAGTACATGCTCATATGAGCCTGAGCAGCGCCAACCAGGGCGAGCACAGAGAGAGTCTTGATGTACATCGTGGTGTTTGGTTGTATGTTGGTAAGGCAGGACCGTAATTGAAATGAAAGAATGTTATAGGATCAGATAATGACCCTGGAGAAGGTTAAACGTTGTGAATGCAGAAGTGACAGTGTATATGAGTCTGCGTTTGACAATGTCCTTCTGTGACTGCAAGAAGCGTTTGGAAAGATTTCCCTGATTGACAACAAAGAAGCTCAAAGAAGAAAGACGATCCTGCGTTTTCGGGCACAAGCAAATGAATGTAGAAAGAATGTCGACGAAGGCTAGCTTGTCAGGAGGGTGTGCGTCACGAGAAGTGATGCCCTCTTCCACAATGAGCGGCGTTCAGCCTTTAAATCAATCACTGATGGCTGGACCATAATTACCGGCAGACTCATCTGCCTTCCGCCTTAGTACATCCAGACTCAGCGCCTGGAGACCGCTGTGCGACAGGCATGTTAGTCATGATTCCCGACGGCAGGAGCTCAGTGGTAACCCCTGGCTATGCCCCGGACCAATGCGAGCGAGCCTCAGTGAGGCCAGGTCGCGTACATGCGGATACGGACTCGGCCTTGTTGTTTCGAAACAGCAAGACGCGAGTGGTGGGTGGAGTCTCGGGGCACCGTTGGCGCAAGACCGCGATGGAGGTTCTGCTGTTCCTGGATGAGGACGCTCGACATAGTGTTTCACGTCTTGCTCCTTTAGGCATAGCAGCGGCGCTTGTTCCTGCCAAGGGGGATAGGGTGGACCATCACCTACGCGATTTTTACACAATCTTAACCTCGATCCATGATAAATAACAAAAACCCGTTTCAGCACCAGAGGCTTCTGCGATCCATCGGCTGTTTTTGCCACTGACAAGCAGACGTTGAGGTTCTGGGTACAGCCGCGGTCGCTTATTCTATCCACGTGCGCGTGATCCATCCTGTTCAGGTTACTCTCAATCAGCTCTGTCCTTACTCCACTTGTTTATTTGTCGGACTATAGCAGCCAATTCGTGCCTGCTCGTATTTCCTTTAGTGCAACACTTTACCGGTACGAACGGTCTGGATGCAGCTTTTCAATGACACGCATTGGAAGGCACCCTCCCGACGGGTTACAGTGCCGTTGCTGACCGTGAGAGACACATGCAACCTTCCGTCTGTATGTTATCATCATATCCCTATTTCCAGTGCCGGTCATCGTTTGCGCCCAGAAACTGCAGGAGACGTTCGACGGCCTGCTTCTAGACAGCAGCCGTGTCTTAGCGTAAACTCAATGCCGCTTGGTCGTGCGGGGTCCGGAATCCTGCATGCAGGCGCAAAGTCCATACTCATTACTGCAGGATGTGGCGTACCTATACGAAGAGGATTCTATAGGAACCAAGAATCTTGGCCATTGCCTGGCTGTTGCACCAAACGAACTCCAAGGCCATCGTTCGTTTGATCCACAACTATAAGTCGTCCTATATCCATTTAGAAAAAAATTGTACGCGCCGATAGCTACGGGATAGTCATGGGATACGCCACGATGTGGATCATGGTTTTGTGATTTATTTGGAACTGCATTCCGGCACGAGCCTGCTGAGAATAACCTGACCTGAACCTACCCTGATCATTCATCGCGACCCCAACTTCTACACACCAAATCTCTACGAAACCAGTTCCAACATTGCTGATTTCCTCACTAGAGTTGGTTAGCCACTCGAGGGCCCTAGCGGGCAGCCACAGACTCACGATGAAGCGCGCGGTGACACAGCTAAGAGTCTCCGCTAACCCCAACCGCCCGACTGTTTCACCACGCAATCACTTGCTCTATCGATTGGGAGGCGTTACTTGCATGCGTATCTATCGCCAGCTGGGGTGACAAGCGAGTCTTTCCTTGTCGTCGCTCCCCCAGATGACCTTGGAATCTGTTTGCGTGGTATCCTGAAATTTCACATAGACCACTGGGATATCCTGAATGCTGATGGCATTTCGCTGCAATTTCACGATGGTTGTGATGCGACTTGCAGCTTCTGTCCTCAAACCTTGCTCTTAGCACCGTTGAGCCGTTGCTAAGACCTGTCACGCTAAAGTCGGCAATGACAGCATAGTCTCATCCAGTACATCGGTACTCAGGAGAAGCTCTTGTTGCGCATACATCGCATATTACACAGCAGGAAGGAAGCTGACTGTACTCAAGTCCTGCAGCCTCAAACACCCTGAAATTGTTACACGATCTCTTCTTGGTATTCTAACAAACAATTGGAGCGTTTTATCTTCTTGTGATTAGACATTAGATAATGTTGCAAGCTACTTGTCGGATTCTCACCACTGCAAGCCACTGGTATTCTTTGACAATATGAGAAGAGGCTATACTCAGGCCACGTACGCCTTCGCGGCTTCCGCGCACAAGAGGCGTCATCTGCTGAGTGGCAAAGGGAGACTCCGCGCTAGGTCAGCCGAGCCCTTGCGTATCCCCATGAATCCTTCAAACTTAGCCATCAAACTCTTCCTTACATGTCCCCGCAATGTGCGATTCGTGTGTATTCTTGTCCTTCCGTCAGATCTATCTCATTCTCACATCTCTCGGTAAAACTTTAGTTCCCGCGGCAGCCCATTAAACCCGCACGTACTAAACTTCCACCAGTCGGCCTTCTTTCTCCCTATCCACCACCTTATAGCTTTGGTATCTGGTGCTAAACCCCGAGGCAACTGATTCTCTGACGTAACATCGTGATTGGTCCAGAAAATGGGTACTTGAGTGTTGCTGTCTAAGCCCATCTTCCCAGTTTCCTCGTTGCGGGGTGTGCTGAGCTTTTTGTGTAGGACAGGCATAAAATCGTCCATCATACTCTTGCACATCTCGGTACTAAAGTTATTTCGTCTCGCCGCACAGGATTCTAGCCAGTTGCCCCATTCGGCCAGTCTTGCATCTTCCTCCTCTTTTTGAAACGTTGTTCCTAGCTGTGCGAGCAGACATTGGTATGTTGCTAGACAATATGATACTAGGTTTGCGTACTCGATCATGGGAACATGTGGCGCTTGGATGTAGATGCTGTTCAATGCGCGGATGAGACAGTTACATACAGCAATCGTCTTGGAGGCAGCTTTTGGATCTGGTGGCGCATCGTCGGCCTGTAATATTGAGTTTGGAAGAAGGATCATCGGACCAGTTTCCCAGGCGTACGGTTTGTGTCTGTTGGTAGGGTGTTGCGGCATTGTGTGGATGGGAGCGGCTTCTCCGTGGCTTTCGAGTATCCAACGTTTCAGGTCTTTTTCAGTAGTCATCGTTGGGGGGTGTAAGCAGTAGAAGCTATCCTAGCGATTATCATGCCCAGATCTTGCCGGGATACTCGATGCGCTACTTTGGGGTGATTATCATACAAAAGAACGCATGGCGTCAGGGTTATGTGAACATGCGGATCCGACCCTTCCTTTCGCCGTCCGTCCATCAATCTTTTTCCCGTGAACCGGATGCTCGGATGCTCAGCCCAGCTAAGGCGCGTCGCTCACGTTTGGACTAGCCGGGATATATGGAAGTTTTGATAACGGCGTAGTCGCCGCATATTACCGCTCGCTGACAGCTGCAGATCTTCTCCGAATTGGTAATTTCTTTGTCTGATGGCGTTGTATCCGCTGTGAAAGTTTATAGGGGTCGAATCAAGCTGCAGCCTTATGGCGCGCGTCCGTAAGCCGAAGGAAGGATGTTGCCGGATGTATCTCTCTCACAACAGGGTTGTGACGGCACGGTCTTTATTGTTTGCACATGTGAGCCTCGGCTGTAACGTGATCAGCATGATGAAAATGACAATGGACCATGTCAAGAACCGAATAATGACCAAGACGGGATAACTTGAGTGTATCACTGTCAATCACAATTCACCAAAGACGGGCCGAAACGCCAAAGCGCTGGGTGCATAGATATACTATCAATACTGGCATTCATGTCGAACACAACACTACTCAACTGTAAGGCTGACGGTAGTTCCTTTTGGGGTTTTCCATTATACAATCCTACTTCTGGAGTAACTTCTCCAGTTCCGCCGCGATCGCATCTCCGACCTCGCTGGTGCTCGACTTTCCACCGATATCGGCCGTTCGGACGCCGTTGTCGATAGTGATCTTGGTCGCCTCGTCGATCTTTAGCGCAATTTCCGGCAGACACAGAGAGTACTTGAACATCATGCTCATGGAGAGAACAGTGGCGATAGGGTTGACAATGCCCTTGCCGGCGATGTCCGGCGCGGAACCTTTCAAATGTCAGCAGGTACACGCACGATAACGGGCGGAGAAGCTTACCGTGAATCGGCTCATAAATGCCGTTGAGCTTGGTCTTGCCGTCTGGGATACCTCCTAAACTAGCACTTGGCAATAGACCAAGACTACCTGGAATCACACTCGCCTCGTCACTGATGATGTCGCCGAACAGATTGCTCGTGACCACAACGCCGTTTAACGCTCTTGGGTTCTTGATCATAAGCATAGCCGCCGAATCGATGAGATGAGTGCCAGACTTGAGATGCGGATACTCATCCTTCATGATGCGCTCGAAAGTTTTCCGCCATAATCTCGATGTCGCAAGCACGTTTGCCTTGTCCAAACTCCATACCGGGCATGGTGGGTTTTCGACAGACGCAAGACTGCCAGCTAAACGTACGACGCGCTCAATCTCTTCGACGCTATAAGGCTCTGTATCCATGGCCTTGCCATCGCCCTCGTCTTCCTTCCTCTCGCCGAAGTATATGCCGCCGGTCAATTCGCGGATGATGTTAAAGTTTACACCACGGACGTTTTCGGCTTTGAGAGGTGACGAGTCGACGAGCGAGTCAGAGGCGAAGAAGCATGGTCGTAGGTTTCCAAACGTTCCGAGTTCCTTTCGCAGCTTCAAGATACCTTGTTCCGGGCGCACCTTGCCGGTTCCCCATTTCTATGCCATGTATTAGACAATTGCTCCTCGTGTGGCATTGTGAGTACGTACCGGACCGCCGACAGCACCGAGAATGATCGCATCGGCCGACTTTGCTGCTGCAAGCGCTTCGTCTGTGAGAGGGTTGTTGTGCACGTCTATCGAACACTAAAAGGAGTTATAAGCTGTGGTGTACATGGTGCTTGTGAACTTACTCCTCCAAATAGATGCTCCTGGAAGTTGAATTTGTTGTCTGTGTGCTTTTCGACCACTTTGAGGATCTTGATCGCCTCCGCGACGACCTGATATGCATGATCAGTATTGGCGAAAAGTAAGTGCAAAGGCTGCTGCTACCTCTGGACCGACGCCGTCACCTGGATGCAATTAGCGCCGAACAATGAGGAAATCTCCAACTAATTTAGAACATACCGGCGAGAACAACAATGTTATGGGACGTCATATTATGTGTATCGATGTCAAATATCCTACTACCGAGAAGACTCTGTGCGCTCAACTTTTCATATATAGTCGTGAAGCTACCCCACGAAGTGTTGATGCGAGTTTCCGCTAGATGCCGGATACCCCTCCGACCTCGGCCTCACTGTTCCACCCACCGACCTACCACCGCTCTCCATTATCATCTTTGTCGACGATTCAAAAATCGCTCAAGCGTTACGAATTTAAAGTTTGTGTGTGCATTCCGACATCGTACCAGCGCGCCGTTAACTGTCATCACTGCTTTCAGATATGACGTCACCGTTCCTCCTCCACCAGGACAAGTTCGAAATCTGATCTTGCATAGGACAAGGTCTTATAACGTCTTGGTGGAGATGTTGATCTGAACTGATCTTCGAAGAGAGGCAGTCTATCTCCTTCATAAGAACGTCTTGCGTGGTACATGCTACCCAAGATAGGTACGTGTCACCCCCGTTCGGCACATGACCTCGGGCGTAAGCAAAGTCAATGAATGACCAGTCATACGGACAATGGGAGATACGAACTTACTGTGCATATTGCATGGCTGGGGGGATGTTTAACCGGCTTGGGGTTACACCATCACACCAAGTCGCAGCGGTGCAGTCCAGGTTGCATTCATCCCGCTGTAATCGAATTGAGTACAGGGTTTGAACTTGTTCACCTCCAAGCACCGCGTCTCACCCTTGGCTCGCCTTGGAAGTACTGAATTGACCAGAAAAAGAAATGCCGTGTCCGTCCTGACTTCGACTACGAGCCAAGATCAGTCATACGAAGGTACCATCATGTAGGTCTGACGAATACAACCATGAGCACATCAGAACAAACAAGCGACTTGAGCTACGAGAATCACTACAGCATGGCCGATACAACCTTGTAGTTGTAGACGGGGTTTGTAAACACGGTGATTGCACAGAAGCCATCGCTGATGTAGTCGTGCGGTTCTAGAAAGACGCCCTCAACAAACTAGCAACATACTGCTAGAGATGCCGGATAGTCTAACTATGTCTTCTACGTCAGTCAACGGTACAATGCCGCGCCGTTGGCTGAGCGCATGCAGTCCATGGCTCAGAGGTTGGTAGGGATGAGAGCAAGATACGCTCAACGGTACTACGGGGCAGCGTACCAAAGTCTAGCAACTCGTCAGCCCAACAACACTCTACCAAGGTACACGCGTTCTTGGCTCAGTCTACGAGGTGTAGTCATTACCGCCACCGTCTCGTGTGTCCAGTTCCACACGGCCGTGATCTGTTGAACTGCACCCAACAGAAGTGCAGGAAGTAATTGACGACCCACCGAGTAATGAATGCATCATCAAATCCCATATACCCATTGTGCATTTGTCCAAAATTCAACAAGTTCTAGAACGCCCCAAAATGCTGGGCAAACTTACCGGGTGTTAGATGGAATGCATCCAGATGCTCGGCATAAACTTAAAGTGGGTAACAATCTATCATGAACCATAGTTCATCTGGGCATACCTAGGCAGAAAGCGCTAGGTAAGTGCTGGATACGACTAGTGCGTCGACGGAGAAAAGGAGAAAAGAAGGGTGTCTGATGTGTCTGTCCACTGTATACAGGTAGGCGATATGAGGAACTTAAAGACGGCCGTGGGACTGTAGCGGGTGGAGCGAAATTGTGCTCCGAGTGGATGGGCACTCGAAGTACAGAAGTAGTACGAGTGCGTGATGTCTGCATGCCATGTGTGTCCGTCGGACTTGCATGACTGTGCTTATACGGTCGTTTGCGCTGTCGTTCACGGATGATGGCTCTCAGTGCCGTACCATAGACCTTTGCAAAAGGACGGCGTCAACAGACACTGCCAACAGAGGGTGCAGGCTTGGCTCGGTCCGAGCCTCAGGGGCACGATGGTGCTGGCGCCGATAGACTTGGCATGCTGCGGGCTCAGTACGGGTCCTATGATGAGCGACCTGTGCCGTCATTGCCTGGCTGACAACGCACTCATGCCACTCAGCAAAGTCCGAATATGCTCCATGAGGAAATTGGGGAAAGTCCGTCGGCGGAGGGTGCTACAAACGCCTGTCATTCCAGCCAAGACGTCGGTCTCATATTCAGGGGACGCGTAATCATAGCGAAGTCAGAGAGTTGACACAACAGTGCTTGGCAGCAATGGCAGCGGAAGAAACATAAAGTCTGAGCTCATAAGGTTTGAAGTCTTGGTCGTTAACAGTTGAGATAAAGGAGTAGATGAAATTCGTAATGGCTGAAGGCGGCGATAACGTGTGGTGGAGGCTCAATGATCAGCGCGGGATGGCGTACCTTCTAACCGTTCCTGTACCAGGCTCCGTAGATCACCACCCGCGCTGACAGTGCCAAAATGCTTCGTGAAGCATCGCATCTTGACCTGCCGATGCCCGCCAAGTGTCTTGGGTATGAAGATCTCTTGTATGCGCCTCAGACAGAGTGCGTGTGCGCCCATATACCGTCGCCGTGTGCTCGCGACAAGCCTCCGGCGGTCTAGGCGCCGCGCAACAAGTTTGCGTATCTTGTACAGCCAAGTGCACAGCCAAGGTCCACGCAATGTCGTGATGCAATTTGGCTACAGTAGTTGTGCAGCCTGTACTTTGATCTGCGGCTCTGTGGTTGGTCTCGCATAGTGTTGGAGATGTGTTTTGGCCATTTGCTGGGCAATGGCTTGGTATTCATCTACCCTCCGCGTATGGCGGTAGGCGCAGGTGGTCCAAGGTAAGTCCCAGGGCGCACTTGGCGACTACAGTGGCCTTTTTACACTAGTACGTCAAGTATTTTATGACACCCGGGTGGGCGCGTACATGGTGCCCCGGATTCACTTGCATCTCCGCGATTCGCTTCTGTGTCGGATATAATATCTGTTGTCCTCCCCTGCACGTTGGCTACATTGTGAAGTTCCACGGTACAAACAAAGTCGGTACCGCCTCCACAGTTGCGCGATTAAAATCTGTTTCCCAGCTCCAGTTCACTGTGGATCCTTGTGCTTTCCGGTCAAAATATTCTACTATTTATCTTTCTTCCCTCCCCGACTCTCACTTATCCATCACCTATACAACAGCACCTTCGGGTTGCGCGTACCTCAAGCCATCCGCGGCAAGCATTCCAACCACCTTCCGAACTCTACAAAGACGGTGCATCTCAACATGTTGTCCATCCGCTCGAGCGTCGACAGCATTTCGAGCCGTCTCAGCGGCGAGAAACCCCTTCCACGACCAAGCTACTACTGCAACATGAACCCAGAAGAGCAATCACTCTGGTCCATCATCGGCGAAGAAAAGTACGAATATGTACGCGACAAGAAAGGCCGACTACATCGCCACCGTCTCACCTACGCCGAACGGGCTCAAAAACAGCGTCTGTTCTTCGAAGCTCGTGTTGGCCATGCCATCGTCGGCGATGAATGGATGCACATGAAGCTCCCGGCTCGTCGTCGCTAGTACACAATGGCCTGTTCTCCGACAACGGCCTGCGACCCCACCACTCGTTCCTAAACGGTTTCCGACAATGTCAGAACAATCCATTATGCCGCGAGGGCAGTTCGACTTTGGTCTCCTTTGTTAGAGTTTGTGTTTGAGGCTGCGCCTAGACTCGAGGTGGTGCCAGGCCTTCACTATACCGTTTCCTTTGTTCTACGTTTGTTTTATCGAGTCGGAACAATGACCTCTACACCCCGGAAGATACCCAGCATATCGATGCACCCTGGAGTTTGTTTGTATCAACAGTGGAAACAGCTACATTTATAGATTTCACACTTTGCATTTCCCCCTTGACTTTTGTGTGTTACATGATGAGGGACAGGCTTCCCAGCGTGCGTGATGTGTAAGATGGGATGAAAGGTCGCCTCAGCGCAGGCAGTGCACATCAGCAGATGAGCGTAGAAACAAGGTGACATGACACTAGCAGGAAAGGGGCGATGAAAGGCACCTGGGCAGTGTTTTGAAAAGGATGCCTTGGCTGAACGCCGCCGCCTCTTAGCTCGCTCATCCCCATTGGCTGGTTCCGCGGCGGCGGCGGCGGCGGCGGCCTTCAAGCTTCGCCCGTGGGCTGTGACTTTACAACTCAATCACCACCAGAAGCACATTGCCGTCCGATCGAGGCACCATGTTCTGGCCCTACCCGTGAGAATACGCCTGGTAGAGTCACAAAATTACATCAAACAATGTCGGACGAGGAGGAACTGCTGGTCATCGCGGCAAAGGGCGATGTCATCATCGATGTCGCACAGGAAGAACGAGGGCAGCGCTTCTCCTATCGAGTGGACTCGAAGACGCTGCAGCAGAAGTCGCGGTACTTTGAGAATCTACTGAGCGATCGCTTTAGTGAGGGGCAGCAGTTGGCGAAAGCTCTCGAAGCTCTCAAGTTGGGCGGCCATGGGGATATGACAGATGTGCCTACTGATGTATTGCCTCACATCTCAATCATCAATGTTGGACGAGTCGCTGTAGCCAAAGTCTCTTCCATTCGCAATCTACTTGCAGACTTCCTCCGCGCCATCCATGGCCTCGATCTTGCCGTCCCAAACCCGCCTATCGCCAACGTAGCCAACCTCGCCGTCGTTGCCGACCGTTTCGATGCTGTCGCGTGCCTTTCGAAATATTTTCAGAAGAGAAAATATCTGCAGCTACTCGATGCAAAGGCGAGAGGCAAGCCCAGTCCATCGCAGTCGGAAGAGAGAACACGGCAGAGATTGTTTGTTGGTATACTTTTCGACCACCCAGCCTGGGTAACAAAATACTCCAAGCAGTTGATAATGCGAGACTCGGTTCAGTGGCAGCCAGTAGTAGAAGAGGACCATACGAAAGCTCTGTGGTGGGACATGCCCAACGGCGTCGAGGACGAGTTGATTCAGCGGCGAGAGCACATACTGGAGACGATCAACTCTCTGCAGGCACATTTCCTCAAGCTCTACACGTCTGGAGAACGACAATGCAAGCTGGGATACGATACGTCAATACAATGTGACTCTTTTCAGCTAGGAGAAATGGTCCGCTTCTTCTTCAAGATCGACACGGTACGACTACAGGGCAAAATCTACGACAATACAGAACCGACATACTATCTTGGTGACATTGACCGGCTTCTGTCATCTCTTCGCCAGTGCTCAAACTACCAGGTCGACAGCAATCATGCGCATTGTGGGCTACGCTCGCGGCTGCTTCCACTCCTCGACCTGATACAGAACACTCTCAGCCTCGATGCTAGTAGTGCCGATATCGGCATCTGTGCAGAATGTTGGAGCGGCCACCGTGAGGAGTACGCCTGGACCCTGGCCAAGCGACCGGTTATGTGGGCCCACCCTAAGTCTTTGACTGGGAACCGTTCTCTAATCGGGAACCATGCGCCTGCCAACGCCTTGTTTCCCAAGGCCCGCGCTCGCCAGATTATGCCGAGTAGTTGCCTTAGCAGGCACGTGGCCGTCAGGGACCTTTTCATGGCCGTGGAGCGTGACTGGACAGCAAGAGATGTTTATTAAGGTAGAAATACCTCATTGGGCCATGGCCAGACATATCTCCAACGCACCTCAATCGGTCTGGTACACGAAACCAACACTACTGTCCTTTATCTCAGGTTCAGTCCTACCTATGGGTATACAGCTGTCCTCTTAAATATCAGCCTTCCGTAGCGCTGTTGTAGATATCGTTGCGGCACTTATCTGGGAATATACAGATGTGCCATGTTTGAAACTGACAAAGATTACATCGTGTCTGCCTTCCAAAAATGCCTCGTTCCGTGAAAGCCGGAAAAGGAGGTTGATACCTATTGGGGTATTAATTGAGAGGCTACCTCGAATTCGGTGACACTAAATTCTTACCGGATATGTTCCCCATGTTCTCCTCGTACCATGAAATGGTTCACGCATGCACTAAAGCGTACCGGCATGATCGTATATCCTAGATGGCGCACATGTGTGGTTCGCTTGATGATGCATTCACGTGATCTAGACCCATTGTTTTCCGATATGTGATTGGTCAATACATTGTGGCTGAGCCACTTTGTCCACCACAGGGGGCTGAGTGCTCGGCTGAGCACGCCCTGAGAGCACACACTTCGGCCTCGTACGCTTCTCTTGCTGATCTCATATGTTCTTTTGCATACAGACCATGCGTATTGTGTGGGACATGGGCCACACACGGCATACACAAGGCAGATCACGGCTGTTTCGGTAACTAAGATGTCGTTGGATATAAAGAATGGTTGCTGAAACCATGGAAGACAACAACCAAGCTCGCATAATCTACTCAAGCGTATTACGCCCGCTCGCTTCCGTTTGCTGTTTGACCCTTAGCCACGTGGCTAACTTAGTCCTTGCCCAATGTCGGCCATACCTTCTTCTCTCTACTATTACAATCCCGGCGGCTCTCTCACCTATCCCTCACATTACCACATTCAACAAGAAACATCGTTCCTGAAGGGTGACAAGATGTTTTCAAAAATGAAAAGAGCCTTGACTACTCGCAAGTCATCTTCAAGCACCGACTACCCCTCACAAGGTACAGAAAGTGCGGGTCACACATTCCGCAACACGCCTGCAGTTGCGCCTATTAGCACAAAGAGAACTGGATCACGCAACGGCAGTCTTGTGCCACCTTCGCCTATGAGCCCGCTCAGCCCGGCATCACCTGCTACAAGAAGGCCAGGTAAGCATACCGATACCTCACATCGACTGTTGTATGCGGCATTACCTCTCCAGACACTGACGTCTTTCCAGGAAGTTCAAATATGTATTCTTCTAACTCTAACAACGAAGCACCGCCAGCGTATAGCCCAGGTCCGGTTGGATCTTCAAATGCACTGCAGCCCATCTCAGGTTCTGCTCAATCGGATGCCGATGAATATGCTTTCCTCTGTTCCTTCGATACAGTATTTCTAATCGATGACTCTGGGTCTATGGCAGGTCGTTCATGGCGAGAGACGGGCAAAGCACTAGAACTCATTACACCAATTTGCACCGAGCGCGACAAGGATGGTATAGACATTTACTTCCTCAATCATCCCGACTCGAGCATCTACAAGAACATCACTAGAGCCAGTACTATTATCGAGATTTTCCAAACGGTGCGACCCAGCGGCTACACACCCACTGGCCAGCGTCTCAACCAAATCCTAAAGCCATATCTCAAGCGTTACGAGAAGAATGACAAGATCAAGCCCATCAACATCATTGTCATCACTGACGGTGCACCATCCGACGACGTCGAATCCCCCATCATCCAAGCCGCCAAGAAACTTGATAAACTCGAAGCCCCCGCCTGGCAAGTCGGCATTCAATTCTTCCAGGTTGGCAGCGAGAAACAGGCGCGTGAGCACCTCAAGATGCTCGACGATGGACTCGCTGAGCTGTCCAAGGACTCTGATCTCAGAGATATTGTGGACACCGTGCCGTTCACTGATGACCATAACGGTGAGCTCACGGCTTCTGGAATCCTGAAAGTGGTACTTGGCAGTGTCAATAGGCGACTCGATCGCAATTCCCTGGATTTGCATAAGCGGTGACGGTGAATAGATGAGGCACACAATACGTTTTGAGGGGTAAATCCGGGAACTACGACATCTCCACTCTTTCTTTTTCTCTTTCTCTTTCTCGGCGTTTATTGGGTGACTGACTGCTAGCTTTTCATGCATGGCTATGTGGTTCTTATCGTGGGCGTTTGGGTGTTACCGCGGCTTCTCAGGTGCTGCCATATGGATTGATACCCCTGCCCGCATGACACGACATTACACGACATGACATGACATGACATGGAAATTGGGATATTGAGCGGCATATCTGCTGTCATTGTTCTTCATTGCTATACGCTTTTGGAGTTTGGGTAGATAAAAAAAATACGTTTAATTACAAAAGAAAATTAACAAGCTCTATACTATGATACAAAAGCGCAGATGCTCCCTATATTTGCAATGAATTGTCTGGGTTCACAATGACTGCACATTTTACCCCTCCATACCTTTCTTAGAAAACACGTGGCATAGAGGGAGGGGCATACATGTCATCGTTCCTGCCTGGGTGCCTGAAGGTACGCCTTGTTGTTGTTGTTGTTGTTGTTATTGTCATGTGGGTGCCTGAATTCAGCGTCAGGCTCACAAGGCAGACTTTTAAACACCCACCGGTAACTTGTCGGTTAGTGTCGGGTCTAAGCTGCAGCATCGCTTCGAAATTGCGATGTCGGCGGCAGGAACAGTAAAAAACTAAAAAGGGGGAACTACAGGCTAATCAATTATGGCTTAGGATAGATGGTAAGAAATAGGAAGTAAGATGTCTAGAAATATCAATGGTACACATCATCCCAAGAGGATCATTCCCCATCAGACCCCCTTCATCCCCGTGCCCTACGCCTCATCATCACTTCCATCCTCGTCGTCACAATCCTCCTCAGTTACCTCTCTCTCCCATTCCTCCCTCTCCTCCTCCCTTAATTCTTCATCTACACCATCGAACCGTCCACCGTCAAATCCCGTATTGCCAAACTCGGAATACATGGATGTTGACTTTGGCAGCGGCAGTGCCGTCGACTCCGCCTTCTCCGCTTTCTTGACAGGATCGTCGTAGAGCCTTGGGCGAAGTTGTCGGCGGTAGTACTCCACCCGATCTTCTTTAGTCTTGGCGTCGTAAATAGGATTGTCAAGGGGGTCGTGGAGGTGGACGACGGCGGAGGGACCACCGGTATAGGAAGCGATCGTGGTGAAGGTACTGGTGGTCTTGATAGAAGGGTTGCGAGTGTGACGGGATGAATGGAGGTCGTAGACGGACTCGTCAGCGCGCTTGAAGGTGGCAGTGCTGCGAGCTGGACGGGAGGAATGGAGGTTGTGGACAGGCTCATCAGCACGCTTGGAGGTGGCAGTGTTGCGAGCTGGGCGAATCGTTGGGATGGGTGAGGGTGGGCTGGGGGAACGAACCTCAGGCGTAAGATAAAACTCAGGCGTGGGACGGCGAGTGCTTGTTGGCCTAATGGTGTCGACGGAACAAGTTGAGTCGGCAGTTGTCCACTTTGTTTTCTGTGGAGCTGGCGCAATGCCTGGTTCCTGCCGTAACAGTGGGTGGACGTCTTGCTGGTCATACGGGCCTCCAGAAACTCGTTCGCGCATATGTGGCAACTCAAAACCAAGTTTGTCCGCTGGCGAGAGCAGCTCTGCCTTGCTTGAACGGGGTTCAGGACCAAGGTTCGCATCGCGTCTATCTCGGCTAACATTGGTAGAAGAACGAGCCTGAGGGTCCAAACGGCTAGCCTCCTTCGCCATCATAGGACGTTGGCTATCGATGCTGGGGCGGTACATAGCAGTCTGAGGCGTGCCCTGTACTGTTGTCCCATCGAGCGACTGGAGAAGAACACGTTGCTCATCCTTCCATTCGCACCTCAGCTGTTTCATCTTCAGACCCAATTCTCCGGCGTAAGAAAGAGTGGTGTCCCCGTCGTGAGTTGCCTTGACCCAATATCGGACGAATCGGAGGCGTTTGGAACGTGTCTTTTTCCATCCGCCGGTGCTAGTGAGTGACTTGGTGTTGAAGCGACCAACCATGTTTGCGAAGAGAGCGAACAGAACGTGCTCGTCGGAGCCAATCCGTGCCATCATGCATGCTGGACATCCGTCTCGCTGGTACTCCCATTGCGATCCATGGGAAACAGGCTCATGACCTGGAGGCGCAGACGCCTCAAGGCTAAAGTCCACATTCCACATTTCCAGCACTGGCTCTAGTTGGCGCACATTCCACTCCTGTTTTGCGGTTAGACGGTTGGACATGATAAGAGGATACAAGAACTTGCCAATGGCGCCTTCAAACTCGTGCCGTAACCATTGCCATATATCATTGATCAGGTTGTGGTTGAGCCCCTTGTGCATAGAGCATAGGTTCGTAGAACCGAAAGATAGTCGCGACGAGCGGAGGCGGCTAGGCAGGTTGTGTATGTCTTCCTTGGTATGTTTTCGATAAGACGCCTCCTTGCGCTCAAAACGCTCATCAGTAGGATCAGGAACATGGCGGAGGATACGAACAAGACGTTTCATATCGCTGCCGCGGAGGCGACGGGTATCCATACGGTGCAGAAAAGTAGGCATCTTGGTGTTGTCGAAACTCTGTGTGAATGCGGTGCTTTGTGGGTGGTTGAAATGAAAGGAACTGGTGAGTGGTCTGTCGCTGGAGAAACTATTATCACAATTATAAATAGTAGCGTGACTAGACATCGTGAAAGTACGACGGTGAAACTGTTATGCACTAAGAACGCAAGTGAATCGGGGGGTATTTCTGGGTAGGTTGTAAGAATTGTCAATGAAGATGAACAATGTATGAACAATGTATGAGCAATGTACTGAGCAGGAGAGGATCGAACTTCATACACAGTGACCCAAGACAGTAAGGATGGGAGTAAGACGATGTTTCAGACGCCGTAGTCAGAGATACTCATATAGCTCTGTCAACAGCAGCATTTCTTATTAGGACGTTGTGGAATTCCGCATGACCTGATTCACACTGCAACGCTAGGGAATCACAAGGCGATGCCTAGTAGAGTCTATAGTGAAATCCGAGTTCATTAATTGAATGTAACCGCCCAGAGAACGCCATCCCAGGAATCGTACAGTACATGAGCGAATGCTGAAGGGAAATAGGCCGTTTTCTAAGTGGCGCGAAACTGGGGCGAAGATGGGCCTCCAGAAGATGCAGAAAAGTAGGGCAAGACTGCGAACGGACCAGAATGATTCGGGGCCTATCCACCAAAGAACTATACATTACCTATAGCGGCAGAATGATGTCTTTTTACATATGAACTAATTGAACAATCAATGTGAGCTTTCCAGCCCTAAAACATTTGCTCTCCTACCATGCAGGTTCTGGTTGACCTTATTTGTCAGGTCCTTGAAGTTTGTGCCCGCCGAAATGCTGCTCGCCTTCTTGCGCGAAATGCGAGGTGTTGATGCGCCTTGCGGTAGCGCGCCCTCATCTTGTGACAGAGGAGAGGTTGTGACACTTGTGGCAGACACTGCCGTAGATGCACTCTCCTTGTCTTGATCAAGCTTGTGCTGTGCGGTGAGACGGGCACGCTCGTATTTCGCGGTCACGTCGCCCTTGTACATCGTTCCGCCGATCCGGTCGAGATAGACGAAGTATGGCTGCGAGAAGTTGGTCTTGATACCCCAGCTCTGGTGGTGGATGTCGTGGTAGGCGGCATTGTTGGGGAAAATCCAGTGGATGGGGTCGTAGGGGAATGCGTAACCGCCGTGATCAAGAACTGTCTTGATGGTGGAGCCCGTGAAGAACCACATGGACTGTCGCATGGTCATACCAGTAAGCAGGTAGCTCAGACCAGCACCCAGCGTGTCGAGGGCGAAACCCTCGAGCGGGTGGTTGTACAGAGCGCCGTAAGCATATGGGACGTAGAGACGGTGGTGGCGCGAATGGAAAGTCACTATATAGATTAGTGGAAGAAGATGTTGAGTTTACATCGACCGGAGCTTACCGTATAGCCACTTGTTGAGATGCATGGCGCGGTGCAGCATGTACTCCCACGCATCCATGATGACAATAGCAGCGCTGAATTGGATGGCAGGAATCGCATACCAGTACACGAAGCTAGCGACGGCCAACTCCCAGGAAGCAAAAGCCGGGACTAAACTTTGTTCTCCTGCAATTGTCGCTGTCTGCAGCAGCGAGGGGTACTTGCCTCCGACAAGGGCGCAAGAGAGCATTGGTTGCGAAGCGGCAACCTTGGACGCCAGCGCGATTGGGTCGATGCCGACGGCGGACAGGACGTATGGGATTCCACGCTGTGCGACACGGAGCTGCTGGGCGTACCATGCCACATCGTAGTCAGCTTTCCCAATGGCTGGTGCCTCGTCGAACAGCGAAAGGCTGAAGGAAGCTATTATTTGGATGATTTGCTGGAGTATGACATCGCGCAGGACTTCGTATCGCGAGACATGATTGCGCTTCAAGACCTCGGCGGGCGTGTGGAGTCGGTATTGCGGAAACAGGTCGTAGGTGTCAATGGCATGGAAGATGAGGGATACGATCCAGTATCCAAAAACAGGTAGGGCCGCCTGTATGAAGGCATCCGAAGCCCACGATGTGAGCGGCTCCAGAGGCCTAAGGGTATATTCAGGAAGCGGCGGGAGGTCGTATGATGTTGTGTTGGCGCTCGCCATGATGAGGCGTAGGGGCTCCAAAAGAAGCGGTTATCGACTACAGTCGTAGATATGCGACGAAGAGAAGCCGGGCGGACGTGATGGATGAAGTGGGACGCAGGGCAGTGTTAGGGTGGTGACAAAGACCAAGAAATGGACAAGACCGGAAGCCGCGGAGCTGTAGCGGGAAATTAGGGAGAAGGAGCAAAGGCTGCCAAAGATTCGAGCGAGTTTGAAAGTAAATAAGGCGTGCGAGCGAGTCGATGGGCTCAGAAAGGAGAGGCTGAGGTGAGCAGAGCGCGGATAGGGAGACAATGGCGCGAGAGTGGTGCTTGACAGGAGGAGCACGACGACGTTTGCGATATGCAGTATACGATATGCGGCGCAATGGCCCGGGGGCGCATCATTGACATTTCGCCGCCGCCGAGCATCCCAGGGCCAGCCCAAAACACGCCTTGGCCTGCTTTAGTCCACCCATCCCAACTTGGTTAGCCCCCTTTTTCACCCAATTTTCGACCCCACCAAAATTCATCCTCGCTCGCGACCCTTTATAGTCCAGCGCTTCCTTTCCGCTCAAGCCTACTGAGAAACCTCGACTGCCAGCCCCGGACAGCCTACACTCATTCTTCACATCTCCAAGACCTCTACACCCAACCGCCAATATGATCATTTACAAAGTGCGTATCTGCCCGCCCTGTCTCGCTCCTCTCTGCGCAACTACCCCGCCTTCCCTGTTCGGCCTCACTATGCGCTGCGCACTGGGGGGCGAGGCGACGTTCAACGACTAGTTACGGAATACTGACTCTTTCTTAGGATATTATCACCGGTGACGAGATGATCTCGGACTCGTACGATCTCAAGGAGATCGACGGTGTCGTCTACGAGGCCGACTGCAGAAAGATCACAGTCGGTGGAGAATCATTCGGTGTGTACTGGCAGCGCAAGTGCATGGGAGAGCATGCTGACATGATGTTATAGACACTGGTGCCAACGCTTCCCAGGAGGAGCAAGAGGAGGGTGCCGACGACAACGTCGAGACCAAGATTGACGTCGTTCACTCTTTCCGCTTGAACGAGACCAGCTTTAGCAAGAAGGACTACCTCAGCTACCTCAAGGGTAGGAAATTTCCACACAAGTTTTTCAAGATCAAACACTGACAGCAAAAAGGCTACATGAAGGCCGTCAAGAAGGCTCTCGAGGAGAAGGGTGCTGATGCATCCGAGATCAAGGACTTTGAGACCAAGGCCGGAGGCTACGCCAAGAAGATCATTGCCAACTTCAAAGACTACGAGTTCTTCACCGGCGAGTCCATGAACCCCGACGGCATGATCGTCCTCCTCAATTACCGCGAGGACGGTGTAACACCCTACGTGACCGTCTGGAAGCACGGCCTCACCGAGATGAAGGTTTAAGCTTGGAATGGATTTATCTGGGAAGCACGGGGCTTGGTCATGGTGCATTGAATTTCACGAATACATATTGCATGATAGGGAATATCCACCATCGTGCGAAAAGCGGTGGCACGAATCTAGACGTCTGATGTCGAACCACACGTGTTACACGAATCACTTTCTTTCCAGCACCACATCAAGTCTTGTCTTCTGTGAGTGAATCGTGCGCTGACTGCGGCATCCTCACCTGATGCTACATGTACCCCTGGGATGTAGGCCGAGACTACGAGACCCAATGGAACAACCGAGGCCATGCATGTTGCCGTTTATGCGGCAAACAAAACTTCTTGGTTGTGTGTAGCCCTAGAGCTTTCTGCGGCACACTAGCCCGGTTCAGCTTACTGATGACACTTGGCTCGATGTGGTGAACAACAAAGTCTCGTGATAACGCGACAGCGCGTAAAGCATGTCCGTGCGTAGCGCCTTTCCCGCCCAGCAACAGCAGCCTCAGGCACACATCCTCAGCCTTCCGCTCCTTATGCCAATCGCTCCCTCTCTTCATTCACTAGTTTACTTCTTCTAATGCGCCATCATATTTAGACTTGCCGCATGAAACGTTCGTTGTGCAAGAGCACTTTTGCCCCGCCTAATGACGGGTAACGGTGCTGCGGGAGGTCCAGTTGGTCCCGCCGCCTCGCTACCGCTACCGCTACCGCTACCAGGAACACCTCGCCGCCTCCAGCCTGGAGAGGCTATCAACGACCGAATTCGCTCCTTAGAGAGGAAATGGAATTTGGGACTCAGAATTCGCGGTGAGGGGTGGTCGCCGACGACGAAGAATCCTAGTGATCTGGCAGACAAGACATTTGGGCTCGTCAAGCGCTTGTTTTATCTTCCACCAGCTCTAGACAAAGCCATTGAGAACTTTGAAGGACTTGCTCGGCAATGGCCACGGAATAAGCCACGGAACGAACGTTTGGAGGAGCTCTATCGGACGTTGCAAAATGAAGTCAAGAAGCATACCCCGGCACCAAAGAATGCGACGCCGAGAAACAATCCGCCGAAGAGTCTTCTGGCATCATCCCTACACGGTCAGTATTCACGTACTTACGTATGCTTAACCGCATATAACACCCACATTATCGTCTCAAAATCAATGTATCATGGACATCATCCATCCTACAAGTTGGTAATTGGTAACAATTCAAAGTGAATTACTTGCAGGAAGCGCCTACAAAAGCTGACCCAGAAACAATAGCTAAAGACACCCCGCAGTCAACAAACCGACTACTTGATTTTCGGCAAGAAGAGCGCGAGTCCTACACGACTGCTGTTGATCCAGGATCACCTACAGACGTGGACACCGAAGATGAAGGGAATGAACCCTTTGAAACGCCGCGATCGCCATCTCCCTCCACATCAAGATCGCAGAAAATTTTTCAGGCAAGTAAACATGTCTCTTTGAAAATCACCAGAAAGAGACCTTCCGAAAGCTCTGATCATTTTGAGAACTCGTCAAAGTTGACCAAGACCTCGAAAGGGAAGCAGGCAGTCAAGTCTCTTATGACCTCAAGTATTGCACAGCCAGAATTCAAGAAGCCAACCCTCAACATGGCCCGCTCCTCCCAGGGAATAGCTTCATTCTCATCTTCAGCAAATCCTTCCTTCGTCAACACTACCTTTTCCTCTCAGGAAACCACAAAAACCACGGAGACATCATTTACCTCTCACGAAAGCGACAACGATGCTGACGAGAGGCGTACTATGGGATCTAAGTTGAAAAGAACAAGTTCCACAACCATGGGTTCATTAGATGACTACGAATTGATTCGTGCTGAATCGCGCTTGGGATTGTTCGAGCAGGACATTCAGAATGACCTTAATGAGGTTTTTTCCCAAGGAAGCAGCGGCCAGAGCAGATCGACCTTTGGCTCCATCGATGAAGATGGTCTTTGTGAGGTGTCGTTGAAAGTTGAGGCCAATGAAGCCAAGCTGGCATCACCATCTGCGACCACCCGAGAGCCAGAGGTACCTGGCATTTCTGACAACGGTGGATATCATAAAACGCCTTTGAAGACGGGGTTACCACCAACTAAGCCGCAGAAAGATCGGAACTACCCACCAAACCCTGCAGATTCACCTTCGAAGATGCCCTACGAAGTACGAGACTTGTCTAGACAAAATCTGTTTGTGGCTACACTCTCGGATAGGTTCAGAAGATTTCCGTATCACATTCTGTACATCTGTCAAAGGATAGCAACAGAAGCGTCCATATCACCAGAAGACTTGCTATGCAATATGAACGTCTCGGCAGTCCGTACTAGTCAAGAAGAGTTTTGGAAGTGTATCGAAAAACACTCACGTGTCCCGCATGTGAAACTACGCGAGTCGAGTCGCCTTTGGCAAGCTTCCAAAAATCGATACGATGGCTACACGTTCAAAGGCAGTCTTACGTTTAACCCTAAGTCCGACGGCCCATTGTTATCTCTGCGGCTATCGTCAGTGCAAGCAGACAATTCCTGCCGGTTGCAGCGAATCTTTGGTTCGGATCGATTCCTTTATCTGAACTCGCCATTGTTCAGATCTGCCAGAGTTGATAGTCGACACGACACGGCGACAATGGATCAGATTCGCAAGCAATGGCAAGCATGGCTGCTCACAGAACACTCTTTCTTGGGACGAAAATGGAGGGTTTTCCATATCGAAGATCTCAAAAAGGGAAAGAACACTCGGCGTAAAGATGTCATGCATGACAAGAGGCTTGTGCTTTTTGCCACGGAAGGCTGGGGTATTGAAAAGCCGTGTTCCATTGGCCAAATGCTCAACCAATTCTTACCATTCGCTTCAAACGCAGACCAGAGCGTTTGCAAGGCATTTGCGCGCATCGATCTTGGCCTTTCTCGGACCATACCTACTTTGTGTTTCGAACCTGGGCAGATCATACGCGTAAAGGATAAACTGGCGACTCTGGATTTTGAAGATACCCGATTCAACGATATCTCATTACATTGGCCACCATTTCCGGATGGTACTGTTATGGATGATGGCTGCTCCATCATTTCGGTGGGTGCTGCGCTGATCATATGGCAGCTATATAAGAAAGCCACGGGGACTACTGGCCCACTCCCGAGTATATTCCAGGGTCGAATCGCGGGTGCCAAGGGGGTGTGGATAATAAGTGCAGAGTCCTACACCAAAGATCCAGAGCATCTAAAACCTTGGATCATGATCAACGCAAGTCAGTGGAAGTTCAACCCACCTGAGGATGCGTTGCTTGACCACGAGCATCACCGTACTTTTGAGCTCTCTAATTACAGCTCTTCTCCTACGCCTTCTGAGCTCCACATATCCTTTATTCCAATCTTGGTCGATCGTAAAGTTCCATTGACGGTTATCGACAGTCTCATGAAGGACAGCCTTGAGGCAGAACGGACCAAACTGTTGGACCTACTGCCAGATCCAGTCAAGATGTACGATTGGGTACACAGGAATGGTACGAAGACACAGTCAGGAAACGATGTACCATGGCAAGCTGCCATGCCAGTGTCACTTGAGGAGAAGGTGAAGTTGCTACTTGAGTCGGGATTTTCTCCTGCAAAGTTTCAACCTCTCGCCCAAAGCCTGCAACGCTTTATACAGGCAAAGCAGATTCTCCAGGAATCTAAGCTGCGCGTTCCTCTTGCCAAATCGACATTCCTCTTTGGAATTGTAGACCCTTTTGAGGTACTAGAGCCAGGACAGATACAAGTGCAGTTCTCGTCGTCTTTTGCCGACGATACAACGGACGAAAAGTACCTCGGCCTTAGGGACATGGAGGTGCTAGTCGCTCGCCAGCCTGCTTGTCGCCGTTCGGATATCCAAAAGGTCAGAACCGTCATTCGTCCAGAGCTGTCGCATCTAGTCGATGTGGTGGTATTCCCATCCAGAGGCCGATATCCCTTGGCTGGCAAACTTCAAGGAGGTGACTATGATGGAGACATATTTTGGATATGCTGGGAACCCCAGCTGGTGCTGCCGTTTCTGAATGCGCCAGCACCAGTACAATCTCCGGACCCTGCACGATACGAGATCAAGAAAACGACAGCAAAAGTGAGGGACGTTATTGATACACGTAATCCGGGTGACGTCGATCGATTGCTAGAAATGGCTATTGAGGCCCGCAGCAAATCCTCGATGCTCGGTATGGTTACTGTCTTTGCTGAAAAGCAAGCATACCGCGAAAATTGCATTCACTCTGCGACGCTTGAAGCACTGTACGATATGCATGATTTGTTAGTCGACGCACCCAAGCAAGGTTATTTCCTTTCGCAGGCAGACTTCGATCTCTGCAAACAAAAGCTTGGATTGAAAGAACCCAAGCAGCCAGCATACAAATGCGCCATGGAAGACTGTGCAAACGCTAAGAACTCGACAAAGGTAGAAGAATGCCGGAAGAGAAATTACAGTCCTAAGCTCAACCGAGTGATAGACTACCTGTACTTTGAGACGGTAAGAAAACACAATGTCGAGACCATGAGGCTAGTCAACGAGTTCTTTTCTAAAGCTACCCCCCTGGACGACACATTGCTGTATCCTCAAAAGCACCTCAACGACAAGAACTCAAAGGCAATCAAGAAGGAATTGCGGTCATACTATGAGAAGTTGGATAGTCTATATCGCGACTGGAACAGCGGTTGGCACAAGGACTATGACCCAGAGCGCTGCAATGCACACATTGACGACTGTTACCGAAAATACCAAGCCATACAGCCCGACTATCCCGATGATCCTGAGATACGACCTCTGGTGGAGCAATATCTCGGGCCGGGTATATGCTATTGGGACAAGGTCAAGGCCTCTGCTCTCTACGCGAAATTTCCTTATAAAGAGAAGTCGAGCTTTGTTCTCACCATGGCTGGGGGCGAGCTTGCGAGGCTGAAGGCGGACAGCTTCCCGCTTACTCGTGCCTTGGTGTCTGGGATCCGCACGAATTTGAAGCCCAAGCCTATCAAAGCGCCTATCCAGTACGATGAGGAGGGGGAGGATGATGATGAAGAAGAAGAGTTCGAGTCCGCGCTTGAGGAGCCGCTACTGGAGTAGCTGGATACTGTCCCGAGTCGCTATCGCTACTGCTTTCCTTTGCTTGGTTGTTCCTTTCTGTTTTTGACTCGCTTTCTTTTTCTTTTTTTACTCACGAGCATCATTGCTTGTTTCTACAACCGCTTACGCACACTTGACTTTGACAACGCATTTACCACGGTATATGTATTGTCTCAGTTGGAGCCAGCCCGAAGACCTCACAGAGCCATTCAATGCACCGCGTCATCTTTGACCGCGGTGCTACCAAGAGAAGAGAGGAGAAGAGAAGAGACGGATAGAGGAGGATTATCTGTATGGAAGAGATGGGAATATGTTGACGGATAGATGAGAGAAGATGAAGACGACATAAGGAAGACGGACGTTGATCCTTTGTTTTGTATTTTGCGTTACCTTCCTATCACTCATTCCAGTTGAACTGCCAACATTTGTATAAACAGCATGTCTTTGTCACATTGCTGATCTTTTCGCTTCTTGCAATCACTTGATAGCTCGGTTGTATACCCTTTGCCAAAATTAACGTATCTTGCGGCTTTTACTAAACACATCCTGCTCGAGTGTACTGCAACCATGACCAGATAAAATCGTAGCACTAACCAAACCATATGTAAACTGTCTATTCATACTTCCGAACCGGCCTCCCCTTCTCCGCACTCTCACACAACCCCCTCTTAGGCATCTTCTCCAACCAGCCCTCCTCCCTCTTCACCGTCCCCACCCTACGATACTTCTTCCCCTTGTCTCCCCTAAAAAGCTTATGCCAACTCTCCAAGCCAGCTGCAACCTGTTTCCTCGCGCTCTTCAACTCCTGCGCATGCCGATTCTTCAGCTCGCCTTTTGTCAACTTCTTGCGCTTGCGCGCCTTTTCCATTTCCATTTCGCGCTCCTCGGGCTTCAGACCGACCTTGTCCTCGGGATCAACCGGCATGTACATTTGCTCTACGCCGCGTAAATCGGGCACGGAGTCCTCGGCGAAGCAGCCGGTGAGGAAGGCGCGCGCGGCGTCGCGGCCGGCGAAGAAGTGGTAGGAGCCGCCGGGACCGTAGGTCGAGGGCGAGATGGAGACGTCGTAGATTGTGCCGTTAAGGGCGAGGTAGATTGGCTTCTTGGGGTCGCTGCCGTCGTAGAGGGCTAGTTCCGCGTCGGTGAGGGAGATTTCGCCTTGCTGTTTTGAGGAGATGTGGTCAGAGGTGTGGGTATTTGAGTGGATGAGGGGGTGGTGGTAGAAGACGTACGATGAGGCTCTTCCATTCACGGGCCCGTGTCCACCAGGCATTGTAGCCCCATGTCAGACTCTCGCCGCTCGTGCTGAGGTAACTTAGACCACAGCTTAGGACCAGCATGCCGGCTATGATGCGCAGTATATCCAGGACCGAGATGCCACTGGAGGTTGCGGCTGCTTGCTCCTTGACTGCTTCCTTGAGCTCCGCTTTCTCTTTGGCGCCCGTACTAGTTGGAGGTATAGACGAAGTCTTCGTGTCTGTAGGTTCGCCTTTCGCGGCGCCGCGGTATCGCTGTGATGAGGACATTGCGGTTGTGGTGTTGCCGTCTACGGTGCGGGCTGAGAAGTTTGGTGTGAGTTGGGATGAGACACGTAAGGCCGTGGCTTTGACTAAGCTCCTGAGCAAGCAATATCTTGTCAGCTTTTGCAGTGGTACATCCAGACTGCGCGCAATGAGGCAATACCTCTGCAGATTGTACTTACACGACTCAAGTCGTAGAACGTATGCACAAACGTCTCGTCATAAACGTAACGCAGCGCAAGACTTCCAGTGCACAAATTCGCAATCTACCATTCAGCAACGTGTCCGTAGAGACGACTGATGTGATGCACGCAATGCCGAGAAATAGATTGGTTTCCGCGCCTTCGTCCGGAAGGAGCAGTGGCCATCTCGCGTTCCGATGATTGGCCGCATGTCGGCTGATGTCATTCGAGGTCCCTCGGCTACGGATCGGTCCACACGTGCAGCCCTAGACGCAATGCATGAGTCGAAAGGTCAAGGGGAAATCGATGAACGCGGAGGAACTTGAATCTAGGTTCACTTTTGGTTTGACTTGCACATGATCTCGTTACTACTAGTATTATTAGGTCCAATGACTTCCTATAGTGATCTTCTTGATGTACGAGTATTATCCAGGCTTTTCATATGAGCTCCGTGTACTGCAACTGTAAATAGTTTTCTCGCTTCTCGCTGGTCCGAAACCGGTTAGAAAGATGTCTGATGTCTTAGACCGGTTGATGGAGGGCCCAGAATTACAATCATTGCTCGCCTCCGTCGTGGATATTACGAATCTCCACCTGTGCTTCTCTGTCGCTCTTAGGGAACACTTGCTTGAGTCCCGCTTGGAAGACACCAACGTTGTAGTCAATAATGGCTTTCTTCTCCGCTGGATTGTCCTGGCCCATGATGCACACTAGCGCGAGATATCTGTATCAGATTAGCATCAATCCCTTTTCTGATGATTGGGCCAACTCACTTGTTAATCTCCCGCAGGTAGAGATACCTGCTGTTCTTCTTCTCCATAGTTATCAGGCTCTCGGCATCGTTGTTACCCGTTTCCGTTTCGTCTTCCATCTCATCGGGCCGATCCCAGCCATAGATCTCGCTAACGTCTATGACCACATCAATATAGTCGGAGCAAATTTCATAGCTCCCGATATCGGTCGGGCTGGTATCCGTCGCGATGTAGATCTTGCTCATGATGTCAAAGAGATAAGCCTTTTCGATGTTACACGCCCCGCAAAGGTTGTTAAGCAGGGCTTCCAGGGTGGGTAGCTGTGGGATGAGCTTTTGGATCACTTTGCTAAAAGCTTCGAAGATGGAGTGGTCGTAGATGGAAGTTTGGTAAAAGGATATGGGCGCTTGCTCGTAGCCGTGATCTGAGAGTTCATCTTGGACACGTTGGATGATATCGCGGAAGGTATCACCGCGGAAGTCGTCAGAGAGACCGTCGACCTTGTGCACAAAGACTTCAATGTTGATGTTGGGATACGACTGTTGCAGATTGAGAATGGTCATGTTCAATCGGGCGATGGCGTCGAGATATTCATCCTGGGCGTCAATGACCCAGATGAGCGCCCCAATCTCTTCAAAGATGTTGTCAGTGTCGAAAGCTGGGTCGAAGTAGTCTAGATGGCCTGGCAAGTCCCATACTTGGAAGTCCATGAAGGAACTGGTTCTTTGGGTAAGCGGATGCGCGTGTGCGCCGGGTAAGCGACGTACTGCATAGATTCCTTCTTGATCCTGTACGTAGTCTCGAGGTACAGTGTCTCGCTTGGTGGGAGTTTGTGGAAGACGACGCTTGATATCGATGACTTGCCGCTCCTGCACAGCACAGTCAGCTAAGAAAGGTGATAGAGACTGATTACAACCCACCTTCTCTGCCCCATAAGCAAGAGTCGTGGTTTGCCATCTCCTGCCTTGCTGTTCGGGACGCGACCCGTGTGGTACTGGGGCGGAAAGTCCACGGGCGGCTGTTCGGCGTGGGCCAGGTCCTGCAGGAAACGATCCATGGTCAACTGAGCACTTGGTTTGAGTAGCGACGAGCTGGCTGATATCTGTGCCTCTTCGTCGCCCTTGTCTCGTGAAGTTTTGCGAGCGACGTCAATGGCTGCAGAATGACGCTGTGAAATGAAACGACTCTCCATGGTGACGGGTAGTAGTAGTGGTAGTAGTAGTAGTAGTAGTAGTAGTAGTACAGGGTATATGGCTAGAAACAGTGACGCAACGGTGAGAAAACAAACGGGTATCGTGAGTGGAAAAAAAAACAGGACGAAAGCGCGCCGGGCCGAGGAAAGAGAGTAGACTAGAGGGTGTTTCCTCGTCTTGCCCTTTACCTGACCGACATTTGCGCGGTGAAGCGTGGTACTTGTCTTTTGAATTTGACAGGCACGCAGCGACGACAAGTGGTACGTAGACGCCAGCTCGAGCTCGAGTGACAGAGAAGGAAGCCACGAGGGCTGGCGGCCACCGGGACGGGACGCTGAAAAGGAAGTGACGAGTCAATCAGGAGCCCCCGTGCTGTTCTACAAGAGTCGTACGTTCAAGGCAGTCGATACCGGGCCAGAGACACAAGACACGCTCAGGCCATAGTGCAGCCGCACGTAGGGCTGAGCAGCGCGCCGGCAACTAGCTGTACAGGACGAAATAAGAGGGGCTACACGTGGGAGAAGGAGATATCGAGAGATGGACATGGACGCCTGCAGCCGCACAGCAAAAGAAGAAAGTCAGGCTTACCTGCATGGTTCTTCCGTGGGAGTGTAGCGTCTTGAGGTGCGCACGGTATCGTCGTCTTTGAGACCCGAGCCTGCCACTGCCGTTACCCTTGCTGTGACCCGACGCCCAACGTTGGCCGCGTCGACAACCAAGCACACGGCCGAATTGTGTCCTTCTTTTCACGGATGCCTGCTTCGGCCGCCGGCAGGATATGCGCCGTGTAGTTCCCGGGATAAACGTCCTTGCTAGCCAGGCCAGAAGCCGAGCAAATCGGGTCGGCAAGGAATGCTAAGATGCGACGCGCCCGGTCGGTGTCAGGCACCAGAGCAGAAGGCGTCACAACACCACGAGTCAGATCCGGGTCCGAGACTTGCCAGTGCTGATGGAGGGCTGGTGTGGCAATGTGGCGCGACTCTGGAGCATCGTAGATGGGGGAAAGTGTCATTGCGAGCCGACGGTTGGGTCCTGACCACTTGCACTTCCGCTTCCTTCGCTTAAAGCAGGAAGATCTTCAGGCACTATCACTTCCTTCTCGCCCTACTCCAACCAGCACCACTCCAACTTGATTATCAAGCAGTTGCCTCGTGTGCCATGGCTTACCTTGACAGCCCCGTCAGCCCAATCCAGCCGGGTCAAGCCAGATAAAAACTACCCTGGCAAGACTAGGTCCCAGCATCACGGGCAGCTACCAGCATCAGCACTGTTGCACTGCATTCTCCCAGCACTTCCGATGGCTTTGATAACTGACATCCATTCATTTATAGTAGAGCTTCGCGCGCATCAGGGCCCCCACACATGGAAATATTGACTCTTGCAGGCCCTGCTAACTGAATTGAAAACGTAACGGCTTCGTAAGTGCGGTGTAGGTGCATTTACTATAGTATCAAAGTAATAGATCAATCCCGGTGTTCCGCTCCCGAGCCCAGACCCAGGGTATCAAAGCCAAAATACCTAAATTTGACAATTCCACATCATCATGCGCCCATATCCTATACTCCCACATTGAACATCAATTAGATAGTGGCGTCGGAACACACCTCCTCATTACCTATCGTTAGTCGTACAAACCAGACTTGTTCGACCTCTTCAGTCTCACGGTCCCGTCACCTCGGCGCCCAGGGTACTTGCGGCCAACTCTCCGAGCCCACCACAGAAGCAAAGGAACAAGGCTAATGCAGTTGATTCTCCAGCTCTGACCAAATCGTTGTCTGGGCTTGAGCCGTCCGCTTCCATCTCCTCAACGGCCCGTTTCGTCTCATCCGACGGTTGATACGTGGCATCAGGATCTCCAGCAAACGAGCCCGCATCCGCGTCCAGGTCTACGCTGTGCGCTTTTCTTCTTGTGCTCCGTCGGACTGCTGTCGTTGTGGGGCCCGATTGCACCTTCTTTGAAGGACGCCCGCGCTTCCGGGGTGTGGTAGTCGCAAGTGATGGGGATGGTTCATCTGCATGCTCCATCACTCTCTTTAAGCCCTCTTGAAATTTTACATGCTTCTCATCTTTCGAAACTAGGAACGACAACACGCTACTTTCCAAAATGGCATGAACATCTAGGTCTCTTGTGAAGGTCCACGTCAGAAGACTTATGCTAGTGAAAAGTACATCTAGGCTAGTAACACTGATGGCGGGATGGGTGCTGATGCTCATCAATGCATGACCGGCGTTGCCGATGCTAGTGAGAAGTCTGTTTGCGCTTGTGGGATCACTCTTTCCGGTTGAATTCGTGAAGATAGTCCAAAAATGGGACCGATGTGAAGGTCTACTGACATAGATCAGGGTGATCATGACGCGCCAGTAGACTAGAATAGAGGCGAGTGACAGAGCATGGAAGACTTTGGCGTAGGAGCGATGAGCGCTCGCCTTGGACGTGTGCTGGCGGCCAAGTGCATAGGGGACCAACTAGTGAATGTCAGAAAAGGCTTCAATGGAAAATGCATGCTGCTCACCTGGGGCGCAAAGGCAAAAGCGATAGGCATGGCAAGATACCCTAGACGCAACATGCTCTTATCGCCAAACTCAGACACTAATTGCGGGAACAAGTTAAGCGTGAGGAGTGATGCCACAATGCCCGTGTCGTAGACCCAAGCGTGAGGAGTGAACAGCGCATCATGTAGAGTCGAGTCATTGTGATGTATGGTCAAAGGCGTATACAAGATAGTGATGAAGAACAGGCTCAAAGCGTATCCTAGGCTTCCAATTGAGCTCAGAAGCACAAAAGATGCGATGGTCCTGTTGGAGAGATTGCGTCTGCGTCCTGTAGTCGACGTTAGCTGGGGCTGTATGACGGACGCATAAGACATGTCTTATACTGCGTAGAACGTACCTTCGGCGCCCATGAAGATTGCGCTCGCGATCAAGCCAACAAAGTATTGGCTGGTGTAGAGAAAACCCTCAGGCTTCATAATGCCGACGGCATCGAACTCGCGCACAAGATCTATATCGGCGAGCCAGTCGCCCAGGTACCAGTGTCCCTCGCCAGTGCCATATGAGCCACCCCATAGGGTACCTGGAATGTCGTACTTGTTGTCTTCAGCCCATCGCACGTAGGAAATGGCGCGCCAGAGGAAAGCAAAGCTTCCCACAGAGAGTAGCGAGAGAAGGGCGATGATAGAGAAGGTGATGGCATGGCGACTACGCGCGGGGTCTTGGGAGCGCGTGCGTGTCGAAGGCGGCTGGGATTTGGCTGCGCGCCAGGTTGTAAAGAGCACACGCGCCGTGAGGACTGCAACAAGAAAGACCTGTCCGCCGAAGAGAGCAATGGGGAGCGAATTGCTGCGCGAGGAGACGGCCGTGTCGACTGGCGCCATGGTGCTGGTCGAATGCTGTGATGATATATTCAGCGACGGAGATGAATGCGCATCACGCGACTGTGACGATGGATGGTGTTTAAAGACAAAAGCATGTCTGCGCCGCCTTGGTCAGATATGCATGTCTTGTTTTGATCTGGAACGCGCTTCATCCCCCGCCCACGTCACAGTACGTCAATATGGAGCTCCCCTGTCTGCGCTAGTCCCGCCGTACGTTAGCCGTCGATCTAGCGTATCTTCGTTTTGGCTTGGGCGACGCGATCTCTCAAGCCTGCAACCGAACTCCCACTCCGCCATGCCACACACATACGGGGACGATGACCTTGACAACATCGAAGAAAAGTACGACGAATCAGCAGACGAAGACTTCAATCCCGATGTCGCGCCTGTGGAAGACACATCAAGCTCCGAAGATGAGGACCATATCACGATAGAACCCGCACAGCGCAAAGGCAAGCGCAAGGCACCTGTCGAGGACGACCTCGACTCTGGAGATGAAGTGACAATCCAAGCAGCGCGAAGGAAGCGGTCGAAGAAGAAGGGGAAGAAGGGAAGCAAGGAAGATGGAGATGGATTTATCGCGTCGGACGATGAGGGTGGACAAGGTGGACTGGTCAAGACGCGAGCACAACGGAGAGGTGAAGCAAAAGACACAAGGCCGCTAGCCAGGACGGAAGGGGCGACGGTGGATGTGGATGCTTTATGGGCCCAGATGACAGCAGCACCTCTGAAACCCCTTCTGGCGCAAGTTCAAGAGCCGGAGGCGCCAAAGGACCATGCGCCTGTCGTTCATATCCCCGCGGCGGTCGAAGAGGAAGAGCAGATAGCGATCAAGAAAGTCTACACCTTTGCTGGCCAGGACACAACAGAAGAAAAGCAAATACCACGCTCACAACTCGACAAGCATCTTAAAGATGGCTGGAAGACACTCGATGCGTCTACAGCAGCAACGCCCCAAGATGGATCATCGGTTGAACCCCCAAAAGAGACAGGGCCCAAAATACGTCGCCCACTACGCCGACCATCGCGATTTGACCCCAACCCTACCGGCTACGTCCGCGCCCTCGCCCCGGAGTACCAGCTTTCCTGGCCAAGAACCGATGCCGCCACACTACAACCCGAGCAGGAACATGTACTAGACATGGAGGCGCCAGCCACTAAGAAGACAGAGAAAGCCCAGAAACTCAACGTAGTGGACAAATCACGTATGGACTGGACGGGTTTCGTCGACAAGGAGGGCATTGCCGAGGAATTGGATACGCATGGCAAGACCAAGGAAGCTTACCTTGGACGTATGGACTTTTTGGCTGGCGTGGAGGCGAGAAGAGAAGAAGAGAGAAGAAACTTGAAGATCAAAGCTGCGGCTGCAGCCCCGACTTCCTGATGGTTAGGCTTTGGGTTTTTTGAGGTGTTGCTTATGTTCAATGATACCCAGTTCTATCACTCAAATACCCTTATTATCAGTAATGCCGTTCTTGACAGTTCTTCCGCGTCTATAATGACGTTTAAATGCTCGGTTCGGGCTTCCGCGACAAACGACACGAATATGCGGGCTTGACAATGTGCTTGACTAATCCCAGGTGGCAGTTAATATGGGCCACATCAGGCCCGTGGCGGGGTTGCCAATATATGCGGGGTAGCTAGAACAACAGGAAGAGCACATCTATACATACAGTGCTTCAACACTGTTCTGAGCAAGAATTGATACCGCCTTCAATACATGCGGAGACTCGAACACCAGCCCGACAAACGCGGCCCGAGAGAGAGCGCAGAGGCTAAGATACAGCTATCCATGGCGCAACCAGCTACTAGCTCAGCGTCTAATGGATCATCGGTCTCTTCGAATATTACTACGGATAGCAACGACCCCTACACAGCAGCTCGAGCAGCTCTCGATCGCGATGGCTTCGTCGTTCTCTCTGCCTCGCTCTTCCCATCCTTCGACCTGGAGGCACTGCGCGCCGCCGCCACACGCATGACAGAGGCAGCCCGGTCAGGCAAATGGCCATACATACGGACCCTACCAAAGCAGTTTCCACCATGGCCGCATGATCCATCGAATGGCATATGGGGTGTGCAACACTTGCTACACCCGTCGAATCCAGACCACCTCACGTTCGCGAAGTCATACTTTGACACGGAGCTCCTGAAATACGTTGCAGCGTTGATCGGTTGTAATAAGTCACAATTGACAATGGAATTATACAACATGCTTGTACGTCCAGACAAGGAGTTCAGCTTAAGATGGCACAGGGACGATGTTGCGGCTACGGCGACAGCACAAGAGGAGTTGGAGCGATTACAAAAGCCAGGACACCATGCGCAGTGGAACCTGGCGCTATACGATGATAGCAGTCTCGTCCTCGTCCCTGGCTCGCATAAACGTGCACGAACGGAAACCGAGCGAAATGCGGATCCATACGAAGCGAATATGCCTGATCAGATTACTGTTCAGCTGAAAGCTGGAGAGGTGGCGTTCTACAATAACAACATCTTACACCGTGGAGTTTATGATAGTACCAAGGAGAGGATGACACTGCATGGCAGTATAGGAACGACGATAGCGGGTAGTGAGAGAGCGAGGAATGTGCTGCAGCATGGTGTGGGAGAGTGGGCGAAGGAGTACGATTTTGGAGATTTCGACCCCGAGATGGCACAACAGGCGAGGACGATGCGGGAGAAGCTTGTAGAGATGGGGGAAAAGAGTGGAGATGTGGGATTCTTCTCGAAGGATGAATGAGCACTTGAGTTGAATTGATGTGGCCACTTGCTGGGCTAGGCGACTGATGGACTACGATGATACAGAAAAATTCCCGATGCTGTTTACAAGTCGAACAGCTTTCTTTGTCTGGAGAGCTTAGGAAGTATGTACTATCATGACGATACAAGATGGTAGGTAATATACATACCAGGGTCCACAAGATATGCATGCACATAGGTAACATGGAATAGTCGACAGCGACAGTCTTGGTAAACCTCGACTGTTTCCATTCCAAAAGGCTTATCTGACCCCTAGAGTAGCTTGTGTATACTAGAGTGTCAAGTATTTCATATCAATGTCATTCAGGTGCATGTGTTCTAATTGCTACACGCGACTTCTTGTACAAGGTCCACGAAGAAGCCATCTCAAATATCAAGACGTATATGCTTTCTCAAAAGTGATTGTACTACTCCAAACCTGTATCTTGTAGCCATGAAAAGAGGTCTCGTTTGATACTAAAAATTCCTATGAAAATAGGCCGTACATAATGCTGTGAGCCTTTGCATAATAGACAATGCACGTCTTGATATAAAAGAAACCCCATTTAGCTTATCAATCGCAGCCCTGTGGACCATATAAGCAGAGTAGTGTATCTTCTGAATCGCCTAGTGTAATTGAGCATACAATTGGTGTCTGATATGCCACGAAGGAATATTAGAAGTGGTCATTTTCTATGCTAGCAACTGAATACAGACGCAGGTTAGAGCCATAGAGGGGTAAGTGAAGTATTACACATGCATGGATAGCGTTCCGGACCCACCGTATCATCAGATTCTTCAACACCCCTGAACATCCCCACCCCACTCCAACTGGTCGAGCCGCCCGGCCTCAGTGTACCTCAACTTTTGAAAGTCTTTGATAAATTAATCAAAACCTAACTCTTTCATCAATCAGACCAACAATCAGATTCAAAGCATCGGTGGTTTAGTGGTAAAATTAGCCGTTGCCATCCAGCTTTTACAGCAGGACAGTTTCGGCTAGCCCCGGGTTCGATTCCCGGCCGATGCAACATCTTTTTGCCTTTTTTGCATTATCTTTTTGTGTCGGATCGTGAGTATCGGTAGAGACGTCGGCTGCTGGACACTTCGGCCCGACTTCGGCCCACCTTGCGCAGAGCTTAGGTATACCTTCGTAGCAGCTATGTTCGTAGACAATCAATCACCATCACCGAACAGAATGCATTCCTAGTTATCGTTATTTCCTTTCAGCACTAGTGCTATAGACCTTCCAACACTGATCAGTGATTGCTTAAGGCGATCACAGACAGCAAGGTAGAAGAGACAGACCGCATCTTCGACGAACTCCCTGACGCACGACGTTATACTCCCGGGAGAAGATTCTGTGCTAAGAACAGAGCGAGGCAGAGATAACACAAAGCACTCTTAACCTCCCTCTACAGCTGCTGGTTTAGCTTAATCCGCGAACACAGAGCGCGTCAGCAACGCAATACAACTCAACCGTACGAGCGTCTCCGGACGATCCGATCACGTACAACAACAAGCGCTGGCACGACCAACCAGCGAGACAACAACACCGACAACGCGTCAACACCCGCTAGCAAGATGGCGGATAACCAAAGCGAAATAAGCTCTGCAGACTCTGCTGAAGCTCAGAATCAACTACAGAATGAGCAATCAGAACACCTCTCAGACTCACCATGGGCCAAATTTACCGCGGAACAACTTATGGAAAACTGTCCATACACAGTTGCACTCAAGGTCATCAATACAGCTCTCTGGGGTGTACCCGCACCGGCGGACGCAAATGAGACACACGCAACAACGTGGGTCGCTAAGGCTATCCACGACTACAATGTGTCAATGGCCTGGGACGATGACCTCTTCATTGACTACAAATGGGACTTTGAAGGATGGACGAAGGAGCTATTTAGCAAGGTTGAGCGTGGTACACTAAGGTCTCTTAAGAGTGTGCTACGACACCGGGGAGTATACACTGGCAACAATCACGCCAGGGTGGCGGACTCTCTCTACAACATTCTAGGTATAGAGAATACTCTTGAATGGGAACCAGCAGAGTTTCGAGCCATGAAATTCGACCAACAGTCCGAAGCGTACCAGCGCCAGCAGAGCAATAAACGCCAACAGGACACTCAGCACACAGTCTATCCAGCTGTACAACAACCACCGCAAGTACAACAACCGCCGCAATTACAACAACCGCCGCAATTACAACAGCCACCGCAAGTACCACAGCCGTCGCAATTACAACGACCGTCGCAGGGCGAGCAACAAGAGCAGTATAGAGTGAGACAAGGCGTCCAGAGCCGTTCCCAAACAATAGAGCCACAACAGCCGCTACACATGAGCGGTACGCTGGAAGGGCCTCAGCATCGACAACTGTGGGAGCAGGCCGCGCAGCCGCAACAAGGGCGTGCGCAACTACAGACACGGCCGCCAGCGACTGCATATCGCGAAGTCACGCCATTTCCACAACAGCCAACGAACCGCGTCCCTAACAGACCACCCGAACTACCATACGACCCGTACAAGACGCTACCGCCGCGATGGTCCCGCAACGATCGACTCGACGCTAATACGATCACGCAGTTCTCTAAGCTATGGGACAATAGCAACAAGTATACAGGGAATGCGTACGATCTCCTAGACGATAAGATCAAGATCTTCTTCAGCATCTGCTGGCAGGTAGATATCCAAGAAGAGCAGTTTCACGCAGTGTTTCCCCGTATCCTTACCGGGCGTGCAGAGACATTCTACATACAGGTTGTAGAGAGAGATGACAGCTTTGCTGATGCGTACATGGCAATCAAAAACCACTTCGACCATGACGTCCATCACCAGCACTACTACACAGACTGGACGACTACAACCTTCGCTCGCACCCGCACAGAGAACCCCGACAAGGGACTACACGAGGTTCTGCAGATCCTGCTTGACAAGCTGCAGCTATGCCAGCGTGCCCTTGGCAAGAACTTTGAGGGCGAGGATGCCCTACGTACCACTGTCATCAATGCCTGCCGAGGAGTACCAGAGCTTGAGATGGCACTGTTCAAACCAGCCACAATCTGTGAAGGACTCTTCTCAGACCTACGTTCTGCAGTTGAGACACACCTTGCACGGCAACACACTACCCAGATGGTCACAGAGGACCAATACTACTTAGATCGCCGATACAACGGCAATGGAAGAATCCGAGGTGGATCTCGAGGTGGAGGAGGATTCAGAGGCGGATCTAGAGGAGCATATCGAGGAGGCGAGCAGCGCGACGACAACGGACGAGGATTTAAGCCTCGCTGGAGGAAGAAATGCTTTGTTTGCCAGAAGGAAGGATGCTGGTCTACCAACCACACAGACGAAGAGCGCAAGGCTGCCCGTACACAGTTCTTCTCTACGCTATACTTTACAGGTACACAGCCCCCCAAGGACTTCTCCGTACATCTTGCAGAATACGAAGGGATCGAGCACACTAGCCAGTACAATCAGAGAGGCTGGAGAGAGGAGGAAGACTGCGAGGATGACGACGATGACGACGTCGCGGAAGCATACCTTGAACAGCAGTTTTTCACGGAGCAATGCCTTGCAGATCAGGCGTTCTTGCACCACATCTCTGGCGACGACGTATACCGCCAAGACGCGCCATCAGCGCCAGCGTCACAGTTCCTGCTTGAAGACCGCTACACAAGATCTGTGTACCAAGGGATCCTACCGGATACAGGCGCTGCCAACGTATCCACAGTTGGCAAGGAGCAGTACCTTGCACTCACAAGGGAAGATCCTACAGTTAGGATGGATACGTCTACAGCAGGAAAGGCATCTATCAAATTCGGCAAGGGCGAGGCTACATCATCTATTGGCACTGCACAGGTCTCTACAGACATTGGGACGATCAACTTTGAGGTGCTTGACGCACCTACACCATTCTTATTGTGCCTTGCAGACATGGACAGGTTAAAGGTCTACTTTAACAACACCACAGATGAGCTAGTCCAGGGTGACGTACACATCCCTGTAATTCGCAAATGGGGACATCCTTGGTTCCATCTGAACAAAAGAGAGAGAGCAACTGTGTTCCTGACAGAGACAGAGTTGCGACGGCTCCATCGACGATTTGGACACCCAGCTGTCACGCGACTTGTTAAGCTCTTAAAGGATGCTGGCCATAACGACTTCGAAGAAAGAACCCTAGAAGAAGTCACTAAGTTCTGCCACCACTGCCAGCTCCACAGCTCCGCACCGCGCCGATTCAAATTCACTCTCAAGGATGATCACCACTTCAACTATGAGATCCTGGTGGATGTGATGTACCTGAGCAACAAACCTGTACTGCATGTGGTCGATTCCTCAACAGCGTTTCAAGGCGCGAGGTTCCTTAGCGCTATCTCAGCTAAAGAAACATGGCAAGCACTGCGGATACTATGGATCGACACGTATCAAGGACCACCAGACATTATCACGCATGACGCAGGCACTAACTTTGCAAGCACAGAGTTCCGCGCAGAAGCAAAGATCATGGGAGTCACATGCAAGCAAGTACCTACGGAGGCGCACTGGTCTATCGGCAAAACTGAGAGGTACCATGCACCTCTACGCCGCGCATGGGACATACTCTATGCAGAACTCACTGACACTATGTCCGACGACGCGATTCTCCAGATGGCTGTGAAGGCTGTCAACGATACTGCTGGCCCCGATGGACTAGTCCCGACGCTACTGGTCTTTGGAGCGTACCCACGAATGACTGCAGAGTCACCGCCATCCCCGTCAATGGTCAAGCGCAGCGAGGCTATTCAAAAGGCGACGAAAGCCCTACGCAAGATCACGGCAGAGCACCAAGTTGCAGACGCCTTGAACACCCGCAATGGACCAGCCACTGCAGACATGCTCGCGCTCCCACTCCAGAGCGAAGTCTTAGTATGGAGAGAGAGCGATGGCTGGAATGGCCCGTACAAGATCGCCAGTACAGATGGCCACAACGTCACTGTTGACATGGTCAATGGTCCA